TGGAGGTTGAGGGAGACGACCATTTGGGCCAAAACGAATTTCAACAGATGTACTGTTAAGTTAATAATGCAAAGGGCTGCCCTGTATGCCTGCTATTGAGCAAGAATTTTGCTAGTTCAGTAGGCAAACAGGGTAAAAGGGAAATTAAGAAGGTAATGAAATGTTTTTCTTCTGGCTTTTGTGAATGAGGCACACAATTTCGAAATGATTCTCTAGAAGAAGCCAAATTTAAATATGTCCTTACCTGCTCAAAATGTCCCCAAGTAACTACTCAGAATTGCCTTCTTTAAAAAAAATAGAAATGTGTAACTTGCGGTTTCTCTGCATTCTTTCCTTACTTTTCTGTGTTTTGAAGAGGTTGTTTGAGCAATTCCCACTGGCGCAGAACCCACATCGTGAATGCTGTACTTTCTACCACGTCAGAGTAATGGTTCAGGCCTGGTCTACACCTTGTAAAAACTGAGGTGCTGACAGTCGTATACTGATAAAAGTTATTTGGGTGCCAGCAGAAAATGGCTGCCATGGACAGTAAGAGAGACAGAGACAGAGAGACTGACTGACAGACTGACTGACTGACTGACTGGCTGGTACTCCGTGTTGGTGAGTACTGTAACAGAAAAAAGCCCTGACATTATTTTTAAAAACAGCCTGTTCTTGAATCCTGATTCTATCTTCTGAGGTATTAGCCACCCCTCCCAGTTTGGTGTCATCTGCAGTTTTAATGAGTATTCCCTCAATTCCTTCATCCAAATCATTTATAAAAATGTTGGACAGCACCAAGCCCAGAACAGGAACCAGTAGCACTCCACATATAGGGCCTTGGTACGGTTTACCAGGATAATAGAACCATAGAATTGCAGAATTGGAAGGGACCCTGAGGGTCATCCAGTCCAACCCCCTGCAATGCAGGAATCCTACTCACAGCCATGTCTTGGTGGGCTCAAACCACCAGCCTTCTAGTTAACAGCCAGACACACTGACCCATTGCACCACAGGCTCCCTTAATGTGTGTGAAGAACTTTGAACACTTAAAAAATTTAGTTGTTTCTGTTTTGCTGTTTCTGTTTTAACTATTTGCGTTTTTATCTTGTATTTTAATCTTTTGATGAAGGGTGGTATATAAATCTAAAAAAAGAAAGAAAAGCGTTATATAAATTTCAGTGGTTTGTACTGGTACCAGAGAACACACGAACCCTCCAAGAGCTTATGTCATCAAAGGACCATACAAAGAGAATAAATCAACAAATTATTACTACCACTATCCTTTTGGGTCTTTGGACTGCAATAAAGAATTGACTGATACTACTGCTATGATCATGTAGGCTTAGCACTTTTCATTTTAGAAACGGAATACTACTTTGCAGTGTTTTTTTTTAAAAAAAATGTTTAGGGGTACTCTCATTTTGACTCAAGGAAATCACCATTTTATAGTTCAAATTGTGGAAAATAAATACAGTAAATGGACAAAAGTACAAAGATTCGCAAAATGTTTATGGGTATGCATACCCCTGCGTACCTCCAGAAAAAAGCACTGCTACTTTGTAACCCTCAAAAGGTAACGTGGAAAGCAGTCCGTCTTTTGTCCTCCTCGCCCCCTCCAGTTAAATTCTTTAAAATGAGATACTGGAGCTGAAGCCATCTATACATGAGTAACATGTAGTTGTGCACACACATGCACATTCAGAGGGCGTTCACACACCCAAGAATCCTGGGATCTGTAGTTTGCTAAGGGGGCTGGGAAATATAGTTTTGTGTGTGGGTGTGAACTGCAGTTCTCAGAATTCTTTATGGGCAGTGATTTAAATGTATGGGATCTATGCAGCCTCAAATGTGTGTGGGCTGGTCAGGTATGATATTGTAGTTGTTCATGCTGTTATTTTCTTCGTTGTGGCCAAACCCGGGAATGCAGGTAAGCCCTGGCCCAGCTCAAGCTTCCTACTGACCTCTAGCGGTATAAAGAAGCAAGAACAAATGGAACTGAAGCAAGCCACAACCTTGCTTTTTAAGTGCAGAGACAGGGGACCTGGGGCCTCCCCCTACAGCTCCCATTATTTTGACTATTGGCCATGCTGGTGGAGGCTGATGGGCACTGGAGTGCAACAACATCTGGAGGGCCACAGGTTCCCCACCCTGGTTGAAAGTGTATTTTCCAGTTCTCACTGCATATGGAGGCAGGATAGGATAGGACTGGGCAAGATCTGTGGCTGGGAAGATTTTGCAGAGAACATTTGCGGTGGCACGCACTTTCCCAGCTGGTGCTCAGAGGAAATGCATGCCCAAGTAGCAAAACAAAAAGGGCTGTTTTTGCTGTGTGTGGTTCCTTGTTGCCTGAAATGCACTCTCCAGAAACCTTTTGCTTTAATCAATGGGAGATTATCATATCGACAGAGAAATTCCCTTTTGTTGCAAAGCCAACTCCTTGCCATTTGGGCCTCAGCTCAACTTTAAACAATAAAGAGTAAATATTGGCTCTAGTTTCACATAGTTGTTAAAAGGTGGCTGTTTTCAGCAGCCCTCCAGAGGTTGTTTAATTGAGTCCAACAATACCCAGAGAGCTGCAAAGTCATCCACCCAGATGTAGAGTTTCTCTACTGCCGCCGCCCCCCCATGAAAAACTGAAATTAGTAATAGGGTTTTATTATTTATTCATTAATAGATTTGTACCCCACTTATCCATGGAGGCCATATATTCAAAATGGCTAACAAGAAAATCCAAAAACCTATCATAAAAACATCCAATATAATTTCAAATGAAGCCTGCTCTTATTTTGATTCCACCTGGCTGAAACCATTTCAGTTCAAGTCAATCAAATTTCTATAACCAGTTCAGCACAAAATAGAAGAAAATAAAATGATGCTTAATTTCTTACAGGTGAGTAATACCCATTTCAGAGTCAGAGCAGAACAAGATGACCTAGTGACAGAAGCCAGTGTGTTTTAGCATTACTTTCTACAATAAATCTGATCTGCTCCAGGGTGAAGTTCCCTTTGCATCAATGGGCAGAGTTATTATCTAGACATCACACAGAAAAGCAGTAAGTACTTTATTTCACAATTCCTTCCCCCCTCCCCTCTCCATTTCAGTGTAGAAGGAAGATGGGAGAGAATTCTCAACTGGTTTGCCCAATCACAGCCAACTTGCACCAACTAGGAGTTCTGCAGGTCATGGAAAGGGGTGGGGCTGTGGTTCAGGAGGCAGGGAATCTCATCAGGATTAAAAGTGCTATATAGAAGCACCTGCCAGAGTCATTCTGCTCTCAGTTGCCCAGTGCTGCATCATCAAACAGCTTCCTGGATCGTCTACTCAGCCTGGATTGAAGACAAACACCTGTGCTTTCTTCTTATCCCACTTACTACCTGATACGCCTACTGCAAGCAACAGACCTCGGTACATCACTTCTGTAGGGATAACCAGCACACATCAGGGGAACATAAAGAAGAGTGATGATGGAGCAAGGTAAGTGAAGCAGGATAACTTTTTTATCGCCTTTTTTTTTTAAAGTGGAGCTTGGAATATGCAAGATCAAGAACAGCAAAAAAGAGTTCTGGCATGCTGAAGTTTACCATTAAATAATGTACTGATTGCGTTTTAAAGGGTTTCCCCTTGTTATGCCTTCTCTTGCTGATGAGACTGGAAAATCTGGGATGTTAAATAGGTTCTGAGTTACTAGTATTTGGTTTAGCTTGTTGATGGTATTCCTGTGCCTTCCTCTGCCTCCTCCTGAAAGTTGTTGTCGTTCTCGTTTGAAGTCTCTGTGCTTTTTTGTGCCTTACCCATCTTTGAACTCTAGGAGTGAATGAGTAACATAACCAGAATTCTGCCTTGGTCCTCATCACACAGGAAGATCACTGGGCATTAGTGGTGGCTGTGCAGCAAAACAGTCATCCAGCTAATTTGTCACATGTACAAGTTGGGTTTCACCCTGAAATAATGTGCCACAGAAGTCAATTGTTCATCTCTTTAACTTGTTGAAACTTGATCTAAGTGCATGTTGGAGCCATCAGACATTTCCAGGACACAGGCATGGGGTGGTCAGTTAGTTTCTGCTTAAAAAAACATGAACTTAAAATATCAGACAGATATCTGTCTTGGATTGTAGACTAGGTGGAGGTGATGTGATTTGATGTGATTGATAGGTTGTCAGTGGCACATGCACTTATTTCCCACCCCACTCCTCCTCCTTCTATTGCCTCTGGTCAAAGATGTTCAGCAGGGCTTTGAAACGCTGAAAACTCATTTGGCCAGAGGCAATAGCGGTATCAGTGCCAGCTCCAGGTTTGGCCAAGATGCCTTCAGCCAACCTTTCTCTTTCTTCTCTGAGTTGACCCACCTTTAAACATCTCTGCCCTTTTGCTTGTCCTCACCCTCTGGACTCAAGAGAAATGGTTGCTGCTTCATTCCTGCTGCTTAAATATCCAAAGAGGACCAATGATTAGGTAGAGCCAGAGATGAAAGAGTAGCAAGGCCAGGAGGCTCTTAGCATTGATGATGGGCTCTCTGCAGGGGTGTAGACCTTGGCAAGTGCCTGATGATGATGATGATGATGAGATCCTGAGCCTAAATGCCAGGGAGGAAAACCAGTGAGTGCAACTGTGAGCATCAATGGTTTTACTCAGCTATCTTCAACTCTCTTTGAGGAGGACAGGAGAAGAATCTCTTGACTATCTCCATCCTGAAATATCTATAATTCTTTGTGTGCCTCCTAGGGTGGCAACACAAGAAGAGGCCTTCTCTGCAGCGGCTCCCAGTCTGTGGAATGCTCTTTCCAGGGAAGTTCGTCTGGTGACTTCCTTATACACCTTTAAGCACCAGGCAAAATGTTCCTTTTTAACCAGGCCTTTGCATGTTTTGATTGACATCCTATGCCCTTTTAAAAGGGGGGGGGGTGTTTTTATATATTTTGTGGTTTTATATTTTGATTTTGTTCTGTGAACCACCCTGAGACCTCTGGGTATAGGGTGGTATACAAATTCAATAAATAAAATAAACAATAATATAAGGCCATAATAATCCATAATGTAACTGAGAAAATGGAGTCACTCTTTGAAATAGATAGCAACTTTATTCCATGGCTACAACTTCTGTCTTCTCAAAATTACATGCAGAACATAGATTGGAATTTAGATCTTTATTGGATCTTAGTGTTGTGCAAGGATATTTGTCCAAAATGTCAGGCAGAGAGGTTTACTGGTACTTTTTCCTTCCTTGTAGTTTATAGAGCTGTTGTATATAATTCCTTCACCATTAATGTTATGTCTGCAATCCAGCAAGTGGATTTTCAGGCTTCATTCCTCTTTGTTTCACCATACATAGGTCTTATTTTATTTTCTGCAAAGCTCTCATTTATTTCAATAGAATGTACAGTACGGGTGCTTCCAAACTACCGCTATTTTGGGATGGAATTCAGTCACAGACCAGCAATTTCAGGTTGTACAATGGTAGTTGAGGTTAGGAATTGTGCAACAAAACTTCTTCCCAAAAAGTTCAGGCTTTTTGCTGTAAGGCAAGTGATGGGGAAATGAACCAGAAAGTGTGGGATAACACCTGTGTCTTCCAACCTCTTTGGAAACAAATCAGGATGACTGCCGAATAAATGGTTTTTGCTTGAAGAGGCCTCAATGTCATGCAGGCTTGCTTGTAGTCCACACATTTCCCTCTGGCTTTTATCCTTCCTTTCTTATTTGTCTTGCAAAGCAGACAGCTTTGAAGCCATTTAGGTAGATAACTAAGAGTGCAATAAATACCACGGGGGGGGGGGAGAGAGAGAGACTAAAATTTTTATTAGTTAGTAATACACGGAGGCATAAAAGCAGAATGGTGACCACAACTATTTTTCCCAAAGAAAGAAGAAATGGGGCAGAGGTGGGTGTGTGAAGCATTGTTGCTTGGGAGTGAAAAGTTCAAATGTTACCTTACACTCTAAGTAAGCAGCTTCAGAGCCTCGCAGCAAGATTCATAAAACTTTTAGGGCAACACCTTTCCCATAAGATGTCCTGTTTAATTTCCTTATGGGTCCCAATTTTGCAGAAAGGAAGTGGGTTATAAGTCTCCTTGATGGCTATGTCTTCCAGTTAATTATTTGGGATCCGAAATAACTAGCTTCAGTAGAAGTAAATTGCACACTAATGTTTTGAGGACGACAGCCTTGCAGATAAATCTTATGCTGCCTACAGGCAGCACTTTATTCCATTTACTCAATGTTTATTACCTGTTACGGTAATTTCTGCAGTGAGGCTGATACTGACCCAAGCAAGCATGCATAAAATTGCAGCCTTGGCTTCCTCACTGTTAAACGTTATCTCCCCATCTCAGTCAGCCAGTCTCAGGGCCCCTCCTGCCTTGTGTGTGTTTGCCTTTTTTGCTGGTGTCTTCTGTGACACGCCAGTGATGCAATAATTGTGCATTAGTGGTAGATTTACTCTGGACCATCCGCACATCATTCTGCTTTATTAGTTGCTCTGCTATGCTTCCTCTTTGTTACTGCATTATAGCCATCCGGACAGGCACTTTTGCACTACAGTGGTACCTTGGTTCTCAAACTTAATCCGTTCTGGAAGTCCGTTCCAAAACCAAAGCATTCCAAAACCAAGGCATGCTTTCCCATAGAAAGTAATGCAAAACAGATTAATCCATTCCAGACTTTTAAAAACAACCTCTAAAACAGCAATTTAACATGAATTTTACTCTCTGACGAGACCGTTGATCCATAAAATGAAAGCAGTAAACAACGTACTGCAGTCACACAATCAATCAATCAATCAATCAATCAGTAGCTGAACTGAGTTCCACACAGTCACACACAAAAAGTCACAAAAACGTAAAATAAATAGCAAAAAACAGACAGACCTCAGTGTAACGCTCAAAACAGAAGTGTGGCACTCAAATCGGAAGCGTAACACTCAAAACGGAGTAAGTTCAGCTTCCGGAAAAAGTTCGCAAACCGGAACACTTACCTCTAGGTTAGCACTGTTTGGTTTTGAGTACCAAGGCATTTGAGAACCAAGGTACAACTATATAGCACAATAAAAATGGGACAAAATAAATAAATAAGCCAGAATCTTGTGGTATGAAAAGTTACAGGATTTCAGCAGACACGAAATGAGGCAGTATGTCCGCCCCGAAACATTTGCAGGCACAAATAGTACTGAAAGCAAGATCGCATATACCTACGCCATCTGTCACGGATGCTATCGCTGAGATTCCTGCATTGCAGGGGGTTGGACTAGATGACCCTTGGGGTCACTTCCAACAACTGTTGTTGTTGTTGTTGTTGTTGTTGTTGTTGTTATACCCCGCCCACCTGGCTGGATTTCCCCAGCCACTCTGGGCAGCTTCCAGGACATATAAAAACATAACAAAACATCTGCAATACTATGATTCTACCCAATACTATCGCAAACACAAGCACAATGAAAAGGATGTATGGAGAAGCCCTATTATCTTTTTCAAAGATTAGAAAGGACAGGATGGCACAAGATTGCTCCTTAAACTGCATGTCTAGTGACTACACTATGGGCTTGGGAAAGATGTGGGGCCATAACTTCTATCCAACTTTGCATATGGTTTAAAAGTTTAACTCATCTGCTAGCGTGGACTAAAGTGTATTGTCCATTGATGAGCTATGTTTGGTCTATGTGTTGCCCAAACCGCTATGGCCACGTGAAGGTAGACCTGGGAACAAATGAGGAGGGGAGTGGCTTGATTTACCACAGGCACTTCTGCATGACCGAAAGAACTCTTGCAGAGTCTCCAGCTTGGTGCAAATACTTCCAGTTGCAATGTGTGTAATTAACTTAGAAGCACTCTCTGTTGCTAGATATCAGCAAGGGCTGAGTCACAGGGAGGAGACACCAAAATGACTAGGGTGAGCACATGCAGTGACTCTAGCTGGGATGCCAAGAGTCTATTAGTGGTTCAGGCATTTGTGTTTCCTTGAAAGGCTCTTAGGCACAAAACTGGAATCTCTCCATCTCCATCAACTCCACATTGTTTGTTCTGTGGCTGGTTCTCCCTTGCATTCCTGTGTGGCGGATAGGTAAGGCGGCGTTTATGGATCTGCGCTACCCATAGCAGGCAATCTTAGGTGCTTGAGGCTGCAATCCATGTATACTTATAGTTGGGAGTAACTCCCATTCAGCTTAATAAGGTTTAATAGGGTGCTGAGCTTCTCTGCTGTAGCGTCTCAGTGGGCAAAGCAGGTAGATTTCCAGAACCCACACCTGATCCTGAAAGAAGAAGCAGGGGGGATCTATAAGATTGTACCAGTTTCTCTTCCCTTCCTTCACATGTTTTGCTAACTCTCTCGTAAGCTGGTTTCCAGCACCCAGTTGACTTCTGTTGGCTTTGGCCCATAATTTTCCATCTGTGAGAAGGGAGGAGACTGCCAGTATCCACGTTTCAGCCTTGTGACATTTGGCAAGTCAACTCCCAGAGTCATCATACCAAGCATACCTGTCATAGGTATCATAGGTGCCAGATTGCCTCTTAATTTCCAAATCTGATCTCCCGGCTGCAGAGACATGCTGGAGACTCAATGAAAATACGGAGCAGGGGGACGCAGTTTTAAATCCTTGCAATTCTATCAGATTATGGGCTCCCCTTACCCACCCAAGACGAGAATTACATAGGAACTCTGTGCCGGGGATATGAAATGATGACCAGGTTAAAGGACCAGCTATGAGAGTGCTCTTTTCCAGATTACATGAAGGAGCAGTGGGCGTTTTGAGATGCCAAACGCTGATCCCATTATTTTCATTATTATGTATTTATATACCGCCTTTCCTTTTAAGAAGAAACACCAAAGCAGCTCACAAACCACAATCAACCACAAAATAACAAGAATAAAACCAAATGGTAAAAATGCAGCCATACAGGTCTAGCACAGGTCTTCCAAAGCTCTGGAGCAATAAAATCATTTCCTAGGCAATGAAGTAGATCCCATGTTTATGAAGAAAGAAAATAAGGTCTTTTTTATTCTAATGCAATGGTTTGGCTCTCAACACTTCTTCTAAAAGAGACGCATGTTAGAGGTAGTTGCAAAATGTGATCAAAGTGATGAGGTGACAAATATACACATGGCAATAATCTGCAGTGGATTTTATCACTTCATTTGAAAATTGGGAACGCTCATATTTATGTAAAAACTCCAAACTGGTACCACCACTTTTTAAACCATTCCCCCACCCCCCTCTACTTCCACAACTTTTATTTAGCATAGCCCACAAAGAAAATAAAATATTATTTGATGCATAATTGCAGTTGTAACTGGTGATTCAAGCATGCATTTTTTTCTTCCCTGATTCCACAGCTTCCCTCTCGCCCAAATGAAATATTTGTGCAGATCAGGATTCCTCAGTTTCATCACAGAAAAAGGATACATAATCCCAGGTTTCTAGCTCTTAAGACTGCCATGGAAAGCTTAAAAGAGGGTAAATCTCAGAAACCACAATATGAGTTAGGGATGGGTATTAGTGCCCAGCCTTTTGCCCCTCCCTAGGGCTAGCAGAATAAGCATCAGAAGCAAGGATGTTGCAACACTTTAAGTGGCATACTATGTCCTGTCATAAACCTTGGGGGCAGGGGATATAGCACACAACACCATCACCTATTACAGTTTTGAAGTGGCACATATAAGATAACCCACACAATTAAATCTTACATATGCTAAAATTTCACACTCTGAAAAAGATCAACTGTACTCACCAAAAGCCAGACCAGATTTCCTTTTTTGTTTAAATGCTTAGGGCCAGATTCAATGAAACTTTTGCACTAGAAGAAGCCAGCGCAACGAATCCTACTAGGGCAATGCTAGTACATTGCCACATTCCAGCCGAGCAAAGGACAGGGTGTGGGAAGAGTCAACGGGCCGCCTCAAGAGGCCTGGAGGGCTTCACTCAGTCTCCTAGGCCCGAGATTTCCTTTCCTTGCTGCAAAATATGTAAGGCCCCTAGCTGATTTGTGCCATGCAACAAGCATTCACTTTTGCTTAATCACCAGTTTCCTCAGCCCCTCCCCTAAAAAAAACCCCATTCTATACTGAAACCCATCCCAGGTTGAAAACAATGTAGGGTGGAGTGATTTGGTCCAAGCCCCATCTTTTCCTTGACTCACATTATTCTGCTTCCTTCCTCTAAAACTTCTCTTGATTTCAAGACAGGAAGGATCATTGCAGAGCTTCTTTTCACGCCTTCCTACTGAACTGCTAAATAAAGGTGGGATTGGGAGCAAGATCACTACAGACCTGTCCTCCCCCCTGACAAAACAGTCCGGGAGGGATGGCTAAATTGTGGCCCTCCAGTTGTTGTTGGATTCCAGCTCCCAGCAGCCCCAGCCAATATGGCCAGTGGTCAAGTATGAAGGAGGTGTCGCCCGACAGCAACCGGGGCACCACAGAGTTCCTCATCCCTGCATTACAAGAGCAACACCTAGAATTTGGGTCTTTTATTGTGAGCATATCGGGTTTGGTGCATATCCCTCAAACCTTTAGAGTGAATGGAGATCTCATATGCCAGTAGTAGCTCATGCCATGGTGACAACACTAGTCCCATGACTGTGGAACCTACTGTTGCTAGACGCACCAATTAATTGTCAACATACCTCGATTTTCTCGTTTTTGTGAATAAGGAAACCAAGTCACACAGGAAATGTAGCGAGGTGTCCGGAAACGTGGGCTGAGCGCCTGAGTTCTACCTCAGTGCTCCCTTGAACCAGTCAGATGGAAACAGGTGGAATGCCAAGGAGGTGACTCCATTTTGTTTGTGGCTTCCATCACACCAGATTAATGAAGGCATAATAACTGTGAGAAAAACGCTCTGCTCCCCGAAGGTCTAGCATGTGGTGAAGTTGTTTTCTTCTTCTTCTGAGTAGCATGGAATGAAATTTAAAGATACATAGAATCAAATACACCCCCACTCCTGATTTAGTGCTTTTGAAGGTCCACAGCAGGAGCCTGAAGCAAAGTGGAAACCGGTGAAGTTGGAATGATATTGGGAGTTATATGCTCTGTGAAGTGAACCCATGTTAAGGGTCCTCCAGACTGCAAATCCACAACCCCTTCATGCTCAAGTGAAAAGGCTGAAGCTCATCTCAGCTGTATTAGACGTTTGGAATAAACTGGTTTTGATCCAAGTGCTTCAGCTCCACAGGGCTGTGAAAATACTAGTTTGGATGAGACGCTAGTGTAATGAAGAGCAATGAGGCCTATTTAGCTGAAGAACATAACTATGCTGGATTAGGTGTTTCTTTATCGCCTGCCCTGTTTTAAACTGCACAGAGCCCCTTGTTTTGACAGACGGGGGGGGGGTTTCCTAACAAATCTCATAAGCCTCAACAAACTACAGTTCCCAGGATTCTTTGGGGTCCGATAAATCTTTGATATAAGCTTGGATTTATAAACCATTGGAGTCATAAATAAAAGCTGGGTGCTAAAAGAAATGTGAACCAGCAACCACTCTCCTTGTGAACTCAGTTATCAGACTGCAAGAGAATTCAGTGTATAGCAGATTTTAAATAAATACATTTTAAAATAAAGTAAGTTGAACCAGTAGATGCTAAACCTAGAATAGTGATAAGGGTGTGCTCCTAATACCTTTTTGCCTATGTGGACTGATTTTATGCTTGCCCTGTGGTGGTTAGAACAGTTGATGTGCCTCCAGAATCCATGGGGGGGGGTGTAAATTTATTGTTACTTATGGTTATGTTTGTAGCAGCACATTCCTCTTATAAATACTTGACGTTTTGGTTCTGAATGTCTGGTTTCATTACTGTCCTCTCTACACCATGATTTTTGCTGCCTCCCTTTATTAGTAGAGCCACTTTGGTGTTGGTGAGAGTGGCAATGGCAAGATGTCTTTCCAAGATCCAGCAGCTTTTCTTCCTCTCTTGAGTATCCCACAAGGTGAGGCAGTCTGAATAGCTGCCAACTTCTGACATCCCTACGATTCTCTCCAAACAGGTTTGCCTAGTTTGGGCATGAGAGGGAAAAAACCTTGAGCTGAGCTGTTCATTTTGTGGCTTCTGTAGTACTATTGACATCGCTTCCTGGCTTCTCTTGATGGCTTCCTCCTGGGCTCTTCTTGCCATGCTGACCTGTCCTTACACCCCAATGGAAACGAATTGCCAAGCTTAATAAATGGAGCTCTTTAATGCAGCGGTAACATATATCCACAAAACCCTACGTTAGGCTGGTAGGTCAGCCATGCATCGTCTCAAAATGGGTGGAACAGAGAGCTATGAATCTCCAGAGTTTGTGGATTTAAAATCTGGCCTGCTAAGTCTCACATTGATTGACTTTGGTTTGTTGACTTGAAAAGTTTTTGAAATCTTGCTGCAGAATCCGTTGATGATCTCAGCCTGGCTTTTCTTTTCTTGTCATAGGAACCTTTTCCACAACCCTCTTCTCCCTCCTATATTACATCATAGAGCCTCTCTTCCATTGGGATTGGTTGCATCATTTTTCCGGCTTTCCAACTGATAATACCCAAAGTCTGCTTTGGGTAGATCTGCACACGGGGGGGAATGCTATAAATAAGTTAGAAATTGAAACGAGAAAAAAAGCTATATAAAAATCACTTCGTTGTTTGTTTGTTTTTGCTCTCTGGTGCCATCTTGCATGTTTATAACGAATTCAAAATGTTGGTTTTTGACTAAAGTAGCTGAGTCCTTTGTCTGTGATACTGTTTCTCTTGAGAAGTTTGAGTCAGTTGGATATTGTTCTGAAACCGGGATGCCAACTAAATCACAATCCTGGTGATATCCTTAGTGTTTATCTTCAGGAGTGTCAGAGTGGGCTGGCAGCAAATTTGCACTTAGAAAACCAGCATTTTGGGCTGCTTGTATAGCTTAGCATAAGAACCCCAGAATCAGGGAATTGTTGAGAATGAGATAAACCAAGCAGTCCTCTGATCCACGTTCCAAGGCAAAAGATGCACCAGACATTTAAGCATCCCTAGGAGATGAGCACAAGATATTCAGATGTCAGTATTCTGCGATCAGTTTACCCACCACACAGAATTGCAGCATCTCCTGGGGGGTGGAATAACCTACATTCTTGATTAACACACTGCAAGGTTGCACAACATTTCTGTGGAAGGAAGAAAACCTTTCTGCTGAAACTTCAGGGGATACTCAAGTAGGCAGATTGTAATTGCTCAATTTGGGAAGAACCCAAAAACACCTGCAGTGTTTCAGGACACCAGCGAGCAAGGTTCTGATATTCTACTTTCTCTAGGTCACTGCACAAGCATAAAGAAGTGAGCCGTAGTAGGGCATTCATTCAGACGTCTCACTGGGAAAACCTGTAAGTCCAAAGTTTGCGTGTTATAGAAAGTATGTGGAAGTTAACTTAACGTGCAAAAAAAAAAATCAAAACGGAACTAAATTTCTGATACTCAAACTTTCATAGCTAGTATCCTTTGCTTTAGTGTGCATGTGCCAAGCATATATCTTGAACAATTAGAATACAACCCAAAAACACATTTGGGTACAAATACTTGTAAAAGGTTGATGTGGTGTGATAACACACACAGTTGACTTCTTTAGACAGGGAAAGCAAAACTTCAGTTACCATGCTAGCACATAAGAATGTGCTCTCTTAAATATGGGGGAGCAGAATATATTTACACTACATTTTGTTACCTCACTCTATGTGGATAGAGTTCTTTCTGATATATGGGAGGCCACAAAGAGAAATGACTGGACCTGCTTTTGCAGTAAGAAAGACAAAATGGATAGGTGCAAGAGAAAATTATTTGATAAGCAGAGTTCTACATTTCCCACCATGTTTTGAATATACTTCTCCTGGGGAAACTAGTCAGCTTTTAAATTTGAAACTAAAATTCTGATTCAGTTCAATTTCTTCCATCTTACTCCAGAGCAAATCACATCTATGCAGTGCAATTTAAAGCATGTGGTGTGTGTCCCCCCAAAGAATCCTAGGAACTGTAGTTTGTTAAGAAAGATGGGAATTGCAGCTCTGTGAGGAGTACAGAACTTCTATGGTTTGCATACAAGACAATTGTACAGGCTAACCTGCTGTATACATTGAGAGAGAATATCTTGCCTTTATGATCAGGAAATAGAATTAAACTTTCTTGCCATAGTGCAACTATGAAAGAAGACTTATCTGGAAAGAGCTTGAAATCAAGAGTACTGTTTTCTCAAACAAGATACCAGGTAGTTTCCCAGAAAAGCACTGTGTTTAGAAACCAGCCTGGTATCTTATTTCCTGGTGTCGTCGTTTTTAACTGTTTTAACCTCCATAGTCAGCATGCCATACAGTTGCATATTCTGGTGGGAGGGATTTGGATCTGAGTAGACCCATGGGGTAGTCTTGGGTAACCCTCACCCATAAAATAAGAACACACAGAGAGGGTGGGGATTGTAAAGTAGATTGGCTGGTGTCATAAGTGTCATAAGAAGCAGTCATAGTTTTAAATCCATGAGACTACTTTACCAAGGCGACAAAAGGCCTATATGGAAATGGTGAAGAAGGAATAGGAAGTTTTGCCTGTAGGAAAGGACAGTTGTTTTCTCGTTGTTATGAAAAGAACCAATTAAAGGGCACTCACAGTCTGAAGCAGTTTCTGCCTTGGAGGCAAAATACTTAAGCGTGTTGGAAGGGGTGCAACCTCCACTGGCCTGTGTGCTGGTTTCACAAGATGCCTCTCCAGAATGCATTTGCTACAGCCATAAATAATGGGCATGCAAATCAGCACGTGTGGTGGTGGCCCTGCCTGGCTGACCTACCGCCTGTGCTTCCTTTCAGCAGCAGCCAAGGAGCCTGTTTCGGTATGTGAGTGTCACCAAGCAAAAGCAGAACACCAGCCCCAAGATTCCTCTGTTCTTGCATATACTGTCTCCAGCTAGGATCAGGACAGCGATAGCTCTCTGACCTTCTGCCCGTTTTCCCCCAAAAGCTAACCCTGCAAAGCCTTCATCACAAAAGACTTGAATCACCTATGTCCCGATTTCCCAAAGGCTCTCTCCTTCCAGAAGAGCCCTGCTTTCTGGAATAATCTCTTTAACAAAATGAAAGCTACTTGGCCAACTATTTTATCTAACAAAGCCAGACCTCTGTGGCAGGTTTGACCAGTTGTGCAGGCCCCCCGCCCTATTTTCCAGACCCCAGCCTTAAAAAAAAAACAAAAAACATGAGCCTGGGAAGTATCCGAAGGGGACATCCAGACCAATCCCTCCCCTAGAAAGAATTCCAATTCTCATTAGCCCAGCCAACATAGCTGAAGGTCAGGAATAATGAGAATTGTAGTTCAGCAACTTCATCAATGGCTGAACAAGTTTCAAGTGAAGGCACTCTGCAGCGCCTTGCAGGTGCTGGCCCCTCTTGCCCTGGTTTTGCCTTTCCCAACCAGACACCTTCCAAAGCTTTGGACTACAGGACCCATATCTTTAAACTTGGAATACATGGTCAATGTGTCCTCTTCATCTCTCCCTGTATCATGTGAAATGGACAATTACCAATGGGCCACCAGTGTTCAAGCAGCTCAATAGCAGAACTGCCGTTCTTGCAGAGCTGCTCAAAATTCTGCAGCAAGGTCTGTCGCCCCCTTAGCTGGCAGGCTTTGACTCACAGCAGCAAACACACACCTACCTCCAGAAGTTTCCAAATGCCGCCTGCAATGGGCGCAACTTCTTTTTGCCTCACACCCCCTCATTATGCTAGCCTGTCAGTTAAGATCTCAGATACTTCCACAGCTGAAGACACTCCTGCTAAGTAACTGCTTAGTATTGGTTTCACTCCATTTTGCGTGGTATGGACTGAGAAAGGGAGGGAGGAACAAATGTCAATCATCATGTCATGAAACAAATCCTGGAATGGAGCAAAGAGGTTGTCAGGGACACAAGGCTTCAGTCTGAGTTTTGCAAAAGGTCACCCTGTTAAGGGCTGTCCACACAGTCTGGGAAATCTAAGAACTGTATACTTTTGCTGCGAAAGAAAGGTTAATGTGAGGAATACTGTTTCAATAATTCAAATGCACACATTTAAGCTGTACCGAGAAATCCCTTCTCTTTCCCCTGCAGACATCAAACCCCACAAAATATGGCTTTATGAAATGCTTTTAAGGACTATGGATCCCACTTGTGGAAGAAATATATATATAGGAAAAATATATTCATCATTGCACCTTCATTTAATATGTTACACTTTCAAACATTCAGGCACTGCCATTTTAAGAGACCTAACAGGATTTGTGTAATTTATATAGTAGAAATTAAATTGATAAAGCTTCGTTTAACTCAGAATGCCCTCTTTTCTTTTGCTGCAGGCAGCAAAATGTCTTAAGACTGTGCTTTTATACATCCACCATGCTCTGCTTTTACTGTATATCTCTTGAGGAATGGCTGTTTAGCCCAGTGTCGAACAATATCTGAAGGGCACTGCATCAACTGCCCATGCTGTGCACACTTCCCTGGTAGTCAGTCCTATGGATATACTTCCAAGTAGGAATGCATGCGATTGCACTTTATATCTTCAAGATCAGCAGCAAGAAAAAAGCCACACCTGTCAGAAAGGAAGGTAGATTCCAGTACAGTAATTCCTTTATCAGCATTCTCCAAGCAGAGCCAGTAGATCTATTGCACACACAGAGAGTGGGGGGGTGGGGGAGAGAGAGATGCCCTGGAGCATACAAAACGCCTTCATGTTTAATTTGCAAGTTCTGAAAACACCCCAAATGGCTGGCACTCCTATTGCACCTCTTTCGCCACCCCCAGTCACACCGAAAGAGCACGCCTAGGCTGCTGGCCGGCCTAGATATAGAAAGCATAACAGGGCGTGCTTTTGCAGAATTGTTGTCAGATGCTCCTGGTGCTTCTTTTCCAGCAGAGGGTGCAATCGCACTACCAATTCTATAGTCCATTAACCGGGAGTGGTTTAGGAGCAAACAAGGTGAAAGCCAGGACTCTACTACAGAGAGCTATTTCAAGACCGGCTGGCTATGCTACTAGTCTGGTGGCGTGGAAAAAGAGAGAGACACGCACAAGACGACTGCAGTTGTGAGTGTTCATTCACTGTGTTTGTTATATGTTTACATAGAATAGCCACAGACTGTGCAGATTGTATTTCTTTGTGGACATTTTGTCCCATAGCCTACATTTTATTTTCTGGGTGGAAAGCCCAGTTCCTATTATCATCTGTTGAAGAGTTCTACTGATGTGGCTTCACAAGTTGTCATCTGGGGTACACTGATCTGTCATGCAGTGCCTTGTACCAATAAGCATCCCGATTCACCAGCTGTTACGTTCTGGGAACGTGCTCAGCTGCAGTGTCACACCTTCCTTAAGCCAGGTGTGCTTGGCCACCTCACCCCAGATGCTCACCAGTCTGCAAAGGCTCAAGGCAAGAACAGCTGGACTGCAACCCAAACATTAGAGAAACAAGCCATGGTTTGTTTGGTCACCTATGGGGCAACTCAGCATTGGTTCAGCAAACCATGGTTTAGCATTAGCTGCGAACTGGGCCAATGTCAAGGCTGTTTGCTGGGCCCCCAGTATTGAGCATACACTTCTGGAAAACGCACCTTAAACTCTGTGAAATGACCCACAGTGAGATTATATGGGTGAGCAAGTATTCAACTTCCTCACCTTCATTGCATAGCAATGAAACTCAATATCAGCTGAACACTGGGACCTGCACAACACTATGCAAGTTCTGGTGATCACTACATTTTTTGCTGTCTGCAACAAATCAAATCCACTATCTAGGTGCACCTTAAATGTGTCTGTGAGAATCAGCATTTCAGGAAGCTGCAGCTGCTGCTCTTGCTTTCATCAGCAGTGTTGTGCTCAATCTGTGAATGCATCCCAGAGCACCTATTGCTCCATCTCAGTAGAGCTACTACCTATGAGAAATGGGGCTTCATGCCAGGCTCAAGCGCCTGGAATGAGTGATGCAATGGTCTCTCTGGCTTGGAAACAGCTGGAATGGAGTCAGTGGGCACTGGAATTACTGGGATCTGGCTATACTAAAATACTGCCCTTGTTCTAGTCCCAAATGATGCAATTTGCATTTAAAATAAACCTGCAGGAAACATACCTGGAAGCAACCTCCTCTTCTAAATTACAATCATGAAAGACAAACTACGCCAGGTTCTTTTTATTAAAAATATTGTAATCAGGCAGTGGCAGGGAATAGTATGCACATGGTATAATAAATAAGCAGTAAACAACAGGGTCCTTTTACGGGTTGGATATACATACATACATACATACATACAAGGAATACAAAACATACCAAACATCCACAGAAGATAGGAGATGTACTGTAAATGCACAAACATTTACCACTTCAGCCCAATTCTATGCATATTTACTCAGAAATGAGTCCCTGTTAGATTGTAAAATTGACTTCTGCTCATGCAATAGGACTTCACCTTCTCCCTCTCCCAGCCCTCTTCACACCTCAGAATATGTGTTCTGGATGGTGGGGATTCCCTATCCAGAGCAAAATTTGGGTGTTCACAGGAGAGAGAGAAGGAAGCAGTGAAGGCCCATTGTGCAAGAGAAAGTTTGCACAACATTGGATTCCGCCCACTGATGTTCAGTCAGGCTTACTGCCAAGTACACATAAGATTGCAGCCTGAAAGATATACACTGTAGATATGGTCGGGCACAAGAGAGTCATGTAAAGTGGAGAAAGGGAAACAGTTTCTCTCCATGATCTCAATCCACACAACACTTGCTCCAGAGAAATCCTACTGAATAAAAGTAGGCTTGAGAATTGCAACCAAGTTTAGGTTGTTCGTTTAATGGCTAATATAAACAAAGAGCTTGGCTAAAATTCAGTTTACCACAGTTTAAATTTGCCCAGTATTGGTCCTTTGGATTCAAACCACATGCAAATGTGATCAGATGCTCTTAATTGCTGTCAAATGACAGTGGCACAGGGGCAGCGGCTGTAGGCAGGATCCTGCATTCCTAGGGGGTTGGACTAGATGACCCTCTACAGTTCTGTGAGTGGAGGGACCCTATGTTTACACATGACAATAAGCTGTCCAGTGCTGAAAGGTCTGCCCCTATATTTTGTCAGTGGAGTTTTCTTCACCAATCCCATTGGTATGGCTTAGCTTGTTTTACCTTTATTTAAAACATTGCAACAAAGCCTTTGCAAAACTGATGAAGAAGCATCACCAGGAGAAGTTCTATAACACAGACCAGCCCATCCAAGCAAAAATATAAACCTTGTGGGGAAGAGAGGCTTAAGACTCTGTGTGTGTGTGTGTGTGTGTGTGTGTGTGTGTGTGTGTTCATTCCAGTCACAGTAAGTGAAAGCAGCAGGCATAAAGACAAGGCTGGCATAAAAAATAAACTAATTCCACTCATGCCTATTTCCATACATTTGCCTCCCACTCCAAGTCAAGCAGCCTGAACTGTGCAAAGTTACTTGGAATAAGAACAATTTCCCTAGTGTTCTCAGAGCAGGAAATGCAGGTGAGCTCCTGCTCAACTTGGCCCTAAGCATGGTGGCTTCACAATGTGAAAGCCAAAGTTACAATACTGGTGGGACTCCACTGACATTGCAAATCTTGGTGGTGGTAATCACAGAGTCGTGAAGGTTTGGTTCAAATGAAGCTCCTTCATCCGTCGCTGTTCATATAGGATAGGCCTGGAAAACCTGTGGTGGAGGAAAGTGTTCGACAACAGCTGGAGCGCCACAGGCCCTGTAAGTCCTGTTGGACTTGATGGGGCTTACTTCTGAGTAGACATGTATAAGACTGCATGGTTAGATTAGTGTAGTGCAACTCATATCCCCAAAATGCTCTTAAGCAAGAGGCTGTTGTCTGGCAAAAGTCTGCAGACAGGAAAGCAGAGAAAGGAAGTGGAGAGGTGGTTAGAATTGGGCCTTTTATTATGGCGTTCATTATTTCCCACTGTTAGGATCACTGGGAGATGTTTTCTGGCAACTTAGAACTGGGGTTTTGTTTTCCTGTTCGTTTCTTGTTCCTTAAAAACAGCTATCTGCAACGGAGAAAAGAAATTTTGTTAACGTAAAAGGACATTAAGGTACAATTACTGAGCTTTTCAGGGCTACGGAGTCATCACTGATACAAAAGCATGAAGCAACAAAAATATTACTGGTATCTGTGAGGAGCCCACTGTAAATCCAGCATTCCACAAAACGTTCCTCAAAGCTGCCTAGGAGATTGCAGTTCCTGTCCTCCATTCTTTGCAACAAGTAAAGATGCATACTTAAATCTTCAGACCTGCTTTACAAATAACCACTTGAGGCTAGGAATAAGAATAAGAGTAACAGGCTTGCGGTTTACCAAGAAGTGGCACAGGTTTTTTATGCCAACACTATGATTAATTGAAGGCTCCCATGCTGTCACATAAGAAATATATTATCTGACGGCAGCCACTGATTAAGTAGATGAGAGTCTGTTTACAAAGCCAGATCTATCTTTTCTTCAGACCAACCACCTGAATACTATTTTTGCCTTTTAAGGGATGGTGGGGAAACTCTGGCCTTCCAGATGCTGAGTCCCATGAGCCTCAGCCAGCATAATCCAATGTACAAGAATTATGGGAGCTGTAGTCTAGCATCTGAAGGGCTATGAGTTTCTCATGCCTGCTTTAAAGCTACCAACAGGCCCGAACTAGCTGTTGGACAGGTACAAATAGTATGGGGCTATGGGCCAGTAAGCAACAGCCAAAGGGAAGTCTCCCCACCACCACACAACACGCTCTTTTAGCAGATGGTGATGCAATGCAACATCTGAAGCAGCAGGAGGTGGCTCTGCCAGTACTGTGCTTGTGAGTTTGCTGATCAGATGGCGTGAGCCCAAAAGTCCATAAGAAGACCTGTCCTGTAAGGGTATGGAGTAGCCCAAGGTCTGTCCCTAGAAGCTCAGCTTTTGTCTGTTTGTTTGGCCAAGACTGGTTAAAAATGGCCTCCAGTGGCTTTAATGGCAGCATGTTAGTGTTGATTTCACTGGGTAAAAATTATATTGATACCAACACTACCTTAATCTAGGTAGCAAAAAGAATCTGATTTAAGACATTACCTCAAGGCAACTTGTGTACCCAGCTTGCAAATATTGAAACATTTGTATAAATTCATTTTTGTCAGTCAAGTCAAGTTCTTTCTGCTGGCAATTTTCTACCGTACGCTACGCAGACATTCTCCTAGCACCCTGGTCTATCGGAGAATTCCTGTTATTCAAATACATAATATGAATGTACGTAAGAAGTACCATTCTATGCTATGCGCATCACATGCTGAAGACCTGTGTGCATTCCATGAGTGTGAAAGGAGGGGGCTCAATTGCTTACAGCTCAGTGTCTTCTATGACTTCAGGGTTCTCCATAGTCTGTCTCCTCCTCTTGCAAGCATCCAGCATCTTTTTCCGGGGCCCCAGTGGAATGTTGATGCTTTTCAGATCATTGTCCGAACACAGCATAAGAGCTTCCAGGTCAATCTTCTCCTTCTTGAGGATTGAAATGAACTCAGACATATGCAAGGAAGCCAGAAAGGTCTCCAGAGGGCTTGTCTCGGGTTCAATATCATCATCCAGGCCCAGCTCCACCTCATCCCACGGCAGCTCCTCCACATTCCTCTCCTGCAGGCTGTTGGCACTGCCGATGCTGTCATTGAGACTTGGCGAGCGCTGCAGGCGGTTGTGGAGTTTAACACCCATCCTGTCCTCTCCCAGCATGCTGGGGTCATCCTGGCCAATTCCAAACAGTCCGCTACTGACATAGTTCCTCCGGAAAACCATCGTGCCAAGTCCAGGTCGATTGAATAAGGAGTCGTGACCAGAATCAGTGCTGACCTCAGAATGGGCCGAGTCCATGTGCAAACCTGGGTCACTTATGGCACGGGAGACAGTATCTTCGTCCGTCATAAACATGTCCCTAACGTTGCGCCGGGTCCAGTCCTTTGGGCTAACGTAGGTGCCTTGTTTCACAAACATGACGTCATTGCCCAGCTGCAAACCAGACAAGGACCTCACACTTTTCCTCCCGTCCTCGTAGATTTTGAAGGTGCCATCCACTTGCTTCTTTTTCTCCAGCTTCTTCTGGATTTTGGTCTTGCCCTTGGCTGTGCCGTGTATGGTGGCCTGAGAATATGGCAAGGAAGTCATCATAGACATGTGCTGGAACCTCCTGCTCAGAGTGCTGCTGGAGTAGCTGGAAAAACTCATAGTGTCTGAGTGGTCAGACATTTCCTTCTTGTACCGCTTCTCCATCCTCTCGTGGTGCTTCTTCTGCATCTTTACACAGTCCTTAATCCGTTTCTCTGCATCCTTGAAGGCCTTGTCCTTCAGCTTGCTCACCAGCTTGGGGTTGAGGCCACTCTGCTTGGCAGCAATGGAGTCCAAATAACGCACACACTCCATGTGGCCCTTCATGGCTGCCATGTCCAGCGGAGTGTGGTAGTCATTGTCCAAACACCATATGTTGGCCCCAAAAGACACCAGGAAGGAGAGGCAATTGAGATGACCATTGGCTGCTGACAGATGAAGAGGCGTGTTCCCCCAGATATCACATTTGTCTGGGTCACCCCTAAAAGGCAGGAAACAAATAAGTTAGTGATCAAGGAAGCCTGTATACCTAATGAGTAGATGTTGCTTAGGACTTGTGAAATGTATCAAATCAATTTACACATTCTTATTCTGGTGCTTACCTTACCTGTGGCCCTCGTGTTAATCAATCACAGTAATTCTGGAGCATTTTTTGGAGGAGGAAATCCACACAAGCAGAATTATACCCAATAAGCTTCCCTTCATCTCCTGTCAACAGATCTCTTTCCACCCTTCTCCACAATGCATTACTGACCTTTTTTAAAGCTTAGCTTCAGACCTGCTGTGCTTGTTCAGTCTTCTTCTCTTCCTCAGAGTGAGAGAGGGTATATTTGAAGTTTGGGGGTGGCAAAGGTGGCAAGCAGTACTGACACTGAAGTAAGACATTGTGCACTCTCTCAACCTTTTTTGTGTGGGCATGAGGTGAAACGAATCCCTGCTTTTCAACTGCACTAGAGGTATTGCACAAATTAGAGCAGCTCCTCCCTACCCATTCACGACTGCTCAAATGCCCTTGGTTATCTTCTCCAGAAATCCAGGACAAGTTAGCCAGGAGCACATTTCAAGAGGGAGCAAAGGTGAGTCCACCTCCAGAACCACAGTCTTCACTAGCACCGAGCTTATAATCAGGTCACACCTTTTCCCAGCAAAGTCGGCGCAATGGGAGGCTAGTATAACCAGGCATGCTAAAAGCTGCCCTAGTATGCAAACCAAGACTCAGTCCTGCAAACAACGTTTTGTTATTTTATTTTATGTCCCGCCCTTTCCCTCAAGGAAATCCAGCTGTCATGCATGTCCCCTGCACTGACAACTTTATCGTCAGTAAGACCAAGGAGACCTAGGTTCAAATTCCCACTCACCTTTAACTTACCTAGGTGACTTTGAGCCAATCATACTACCTCTTAGGGCTTATCCACACTTTTGCCCCACTCTTTCCAGGCACAGGCCAGCGCTTGAAATCTCTGTACCCAAGCATTGTGGTATTTTTGCCCCAGAGCTTTTCCTGCAAAAAAACCTGCTCTTTAGCGCTCAATCAGCACAACTCTCAATACTGGGTCTTCACATGGAAAACTCTGGGGTAAAGAAAAACAATGCTTGGATATGGAGCTTGAATGAATAAGCCTTGGTTATGTTGGGGTTTTTAAAAAAATAAAATTATATTGTTATCAGTTATGATGTTTTATTTATTGTTTATGACTAATTTTGTTACATTGCAGTGAAGTTTCTTTCATGTTGTAAGCTGCCTTGAGCGCGGCTTGAACTGTGGAAAGGTGGCATACAAATAAACTACGTACGCATGCATCCCACCTCACAAGGTTGTTGTGACGCTTAAAATGGAGGGGAAGTGAGTACCCTGCACACTGCCTTTTCCCATTAACATTTATTTACATTTTTATGGCTGTCCATCAGTACAGTTCTCTAGTCCACTTGCAAAACATGTATGCTGCCTCACTCTCTTTGGAGGAAAGGCAGCATACAAATATAATATATAAAGCTGAGTGTTGTTGTTGTTTTGAGTAGTGCTTGTTAACTACATAGGCAAAAGGAGAAGACACGTTTTTAAAAGAGCAGTGTTGCTTAGTGGCGTGCCTTCTCCCTAATTTAATGAGATGCTGGAGTGACCGATACAAGATTTCTAAGCCACCCAACTCCAGATAAGCTGTCTGTTGCGTTTCCCACATAGAGCAAAACCTATCTAACCAGCCAGGCCCAGCAAGCAGCAACAGGAGGTGGGAGGATGAAGTTGTCTGGCAGCAGAACGCTGGAACAGGTTTCCTTTTGCTTTGTGGCCCTGGGTAAATGAGTACCATCCAGGAGCTGGCAACAGGTTCGCTGCGACTCCTTCGCCAGCCTGCCCTCATCCCTTCACCTTGATACTGGCCTATCGGTCGTGGGGAACTCAGGGAAAAGATGAATATTTGATGAATTGCAAGAGGGGTGAATTATTGATGGCGATTGCTTAAAGAGACACAGAAACTGTAAATGCTGGAGCCGGCTGTGAGCTCAGGGCGTGTGCAGCATTGTTTATGTTTGTTCTGAATGAAGACATGTGCGTTGGAATTGGGCGTGGAGGCTTGCAAGCAGCCGGAAAAGCGGAATCAGACCCTATTGTTTTCTCCCTGCAAGCGAGAAATGCCGCTTGTTTCCCAATAAAGCAATCTATTTCACACCGATACAAAGCAGTATCGGGTGCAGGTCCAGGGCAGGAAAATGCAGCTATATCAAATATTCTTGTTGCCAATGCAGGAAATTTCAACACGTCTCATCAGAATGTCCCAGCTTGGCAGGGCTGAGGGGAAGGTGGGTGATGGTTGCTTCCCACGTAACCTTTGGTTGGAATGTGAATTCACCAAAGCTTAGCGACTGAAACGTTAAGCAAAACCATTTAGATCCACTTCACAATGAGCATTTTTTCACTGCCCTGAGCTGGAACTTGACATAAGAATCCTGCTAGAGTAAGCCAATGGGCCACCCAGCTGCCAATGGCATTCTGTCCCCACAGTGGCCAACCAGACACCTATGGGAAACAAGCAAACAGGATCCGGCCATGAGGGTACTCTGTCCTCCCATTGCTTCCTGTGACCATGGAGGCAGAGCATAGCCATCATGGCTAGTAGACGTTAATAGCTTTACCTTCCATTAATTTATCCAGTCCTTTCAAGATGGGAGCTGCGAAGTACAATACAACCGTTCCTTGCACCGCATTGTACTGCAGCCCCTCATTATTGAAAATTGCAATACAAATTTAACCGCTAAACCATAGAGTATCCGGGCTGGAAAGAAGCAGCATGCCTCATATTGTCCTCTCTTACATTCACCCACTTGCTTACCCAGCCCAAGGCATCTTAGTGCCTGAAGCAGGAAAAATCCCAGTGGAACCTACCTCCCAAATAGTGGCTAGTCTCATGACACAATTGACAGCTTGTTGCTCTTTAAATGGTTCTTTAAAATCTAGTGCCCAATGTGACCTGCCTCCACCTGCTAAAAGGTAGGCCTGAGTCTGGATAGCAGCTTCTGCTGCTGCCGGATGATTTCTTGAGGCAGGTTGTAAGGGGTTGGTTGGTTGGTTGGTTGGTTGGTTGGTTGGTTGGTTGGTTCATTCTTCAATCTGGGCCTCTTCAAGGAAAATCAGTGAAGAGTCTTGTGGAACCTTGAAAGATTAACCATATTTTTATAGCATAAGCTTAAAACTGCTACTACTACTGCTGCTACTACTACTAAATAGGATGTTTAGTCTTTAATTTGCCACAATACTCTCATTTTTTGGTTGCAACAGACTCACTTTGGAAATTTGTTTCAATGAAAATGACTTCTTGGAGAGCCAATGTTTAAGAAGGGTCTTTACATTAAAATGGTGAGGTATGGATTAGTACTCAAGGCAGATGGGGGATGCTGGCAGCTCCAGGCAGGGCATTAGGCAGAGTGGGGTGACCACCTCAGGGAGCAGCCCTCAAATGTTCCTCTTGAACACACATCCCTTCTGCCATTCCTTTCTGTTGCCACACTGCTTGTCCTTCATGCTACTGTGGCCTGGTGCCTCAGATACAGTGGAGAAAGCTGTTGTACCCCCAGTGTTGATATCAGATTCCACTGCCATTCCAATTGGTTTCTGCGCTTGGAATGTGGAGGGACGCCATCTTGTCTGCCTCAGGCAGCAAGAGGACTTGAAGAAGAAGAAGAGTTTGGATTTGATATCCCACTTTATCACTAGCCGAAGGAGTCTCAAAGTGGCTAACATTCTCCTTTCCCCTCCTCCCCCACAACAAACACTCTGTGAGGTGAGTGGGGCTGAGAGACTTCAAAGAAATGTGACTAGCCCAAGGTCACCCAGCAGCTGCATGTGGAGGAGCAGGGAAGCAAACCCAGTTCACCAGATTATGAGTCTACCGCTCTTAACCACTACACCACACTTGGGCCAGCCCTGGCTCCGGGGCTGCTTGATTCCCACACTGGAAGGGCTCTCATACTGCAAACAGACTCCACGACTAGGTCAAGTTTCAGTGCCAAGTGCCAGATTGGTGTGCTTTCCATTCTGCTCCAGCGTAGGATTTCTGTAACCTCGCTGCACGGCCGCCTCCTTTGTCTGGTATGATGTGAAGTGCTTCCGCAACACAGTTGGACACCATCGTCACGTGGGACAGGGTGCGTGAGCGGGGCTACAAGGAACACGAGAGACCAAGTAGGCATGGGATGCAGGGAGAGGAAGAGGCCTGTCCAAAAACCTCCTCCCCACTTGACTGATACCAGATCATCCTTTATGGGAAATTCAGTAATCCCTGCTAACAACATCCAGGCAGGAAAAACATAATTAAGTGCAATGACTGGTGGCAGTTACAAAACCACCAGAAGCAGGAATCAGCAAGAACCAGTAACTAGGGGGAAGTCCCTTTGCTAGGTGGAACATTTCCCGGCTGGCATTGGGGGAAGTGCATGGGAAGGGGTAAGGTTGCATCAAGCTCCAATTAATGTGAGCCCAAGCTTAATCACAGTTAATAATAATCTAATTGGCTGTGATGTTTGCTTAATTGTGACATATTGCCGCTTCCAAGCACCTACAGCGCTTCCCTTAAAAAAAAATGCCACCAAAATACCCTATAGATAACTGCTTCTCAAAGAGTGGGCCGGGACCCACCAGTGGGCCTTGGGACACTTTCAGATGGGCCTCAATGCCACAGTCTGGCCACTGCTCACTCCTCACTTGCCTTCCCTTCTTCTTGGCCACGCCATACCCTTTTGGTTGGACCAATGGCAGCACCAGCCAACTGCTTACATGGTGAGAAAACATGGCTGGAGACGGGAGGCAGGAAGGAAAGGAGGAAAGAAATGTCCCCCCTCCTCTGAGGAGAAAGGACCAGGGAAGGTAATGGAGGAAATTAGAAAGTCAGACAAAAGGTGGTGGCTGTTGCTGTTGCTGTTAGCAGTACAGTACAGTGGTACCTCAGGTTAAGTACTTAATTCATTCCGGAGGTCTGTTCTTAACCTGAAACTGTTCTTAACCTGAAGCACCACTTTAGCTAATGGGGCCTCCCGCTGTCACTGCACCACCGGAGCCCGATTTCTGTTCTTATCCTGAAGCAAAGTTCTTAACCTGAAGCACTATTTCTGGGTTAGCGGAGTCTGTAACCTGAAGCTTATGTAACCCGAGGTACCACTATAATGAACAAACTAGGACTAGTATATCTGGAGGGGACTCGGACTGGGGTGTTTTGTTAAGGGGGTTGTTGTTGGTTTTTTGCATCTTTATTTACGATTTTTTTGTGATTCATGTAGGAATTGTTCGATTTGGGTTTTGTATTTTTTAATGTTTTACTTATAACTAGCTTTGATATGTTGTAGGTATGTATTCTTTTCTGTTTTAAGCTGCCTTGAGCATAGTTTGAACTGTGGAAGGGCGGCAGACAAATCAAATTATGTATGTATGTATGTATGTATGTATGCACGGCTTTTTAAAAAAAATAGAAGAAGTTGTCGGTACTGACTGTGAAGTTGTTACAGCAAGTGCCACACTTTTAACATTTGGGGGGAAAGGAGGTGCCCAGAAAAAAAGCACTGTATGTATTTATGAATAGAAATGAAGAAAGCTGTTTTACATTAAAGGACCAAGTGAAATGGCAGTTGGGTCCAAGTTTAGTGTGAAAGAAAGGGAAAATAAATCACAGGAGATGGGCAAAAATACTTTGAGAGGCATGCGGAGTTGAGACGATAAAGATATAAAAGAAAAAAATTAAGTTCTCTAATTAGGAGCCTCTGGATTAGCAAATTCTGCCTAAAATGGGAAGGCTGAGGTACACCATACCTCCAGAGCAAATGTCTATAGTAAGCAGAACTATAGAACTCCTTGACGCAAGGAAATTGCAGTGGCCAAGAAGTAGGCCATTTCAAAAGATGGATTAGGTGTAACTAGAAAGTGATGTCAGCAGCGGCCAGCTGATTATGCCTAAGTCTGCATCCATCTGCCACCATTTTGTGATGGGTGTGCTTCAGTAATTTCCGCCTGTTCCAAATGGGTCCTAGGGAGCAGATAGTTTGAGAACGCCTGCTTTTGTTAACCCAACAAGTGGCCTACATTGAGCAGCCTCTTTTTATCTTCTGTAAACCTCAGCCCCATCTGTTTGTTGCCACATATAGTGATGCAACAGCTATAAATCAGGCCCTCACTATTTGCATATATAATATTTATGAGTAATCACAGGTATTTAGGATTGCCATTTTTTGCCGCCATGGCTTCCATGCCTTAAACAGACATGTGATAGGCAGAAATGCTAAGGTTGTAGCTTTGCCCGGCCTTGTGATGCTGTCGTGACAGGGTAAAAAGGCCTTTGTTGAATTTCTGCTCCTTCCTGACACTTTTAAATGTATGGGATCACAGCGTCTAAATGTAAAATAAATACAGAAAAGGATGCTACAACTACATTAAAGGGAACCACTGAGTTCTGTTGAAGCGTCTGCAAGATGTAGAGATCACCGGGCCACTGTGGATTTTATTTTTAATTGCTCTAGCGTCACTCACGTCCAACACATTTTTGGAACTTTATAAACAAAAAAACAAATCTCTAACATTCTGTGCTCATCTATCTCCTTGCATGTCAGCCTTCTCATGAAGTGCCTTCCTGGAACAGGCAGAAATCTGAGAGGGAAGGGAACATAACAGGCTAGTACAGTGGTACCTCAGTTTACGAACTTAATCCGTTCCAAAAGTCCATTCTTAAACCAAAGCTGTTCTTAAACCGAGGTGCGCTTTCCCTAATGAGGCCTCCTGCCATCGGTGCCCTTCCACCGTTTGTCCTTCGTTCGTAGACAGAGGTAAGGTTCACTAACCGGAACACTAATTCCGGTTTTGCGGAGTTCATATACCAAATAGTTCGTAAACAGGGCTGTTCTTAAACTAAGGTACCACTGCATTTGGAAACATGTAATCTTTAAGTGGGGAGTAAGTGTCCATCTGTATCCTCCACTGCAGGGATTTTTTTCAGTGGGCAGAAGTTAGCAAGACTGAGTATAGAGGCTCAAGTGTCTTTACAACATTTGGTAAACTAAATCTTGTTGGGATTTCTATAAGTCTACAATCCTCTACAATCCTCACGATCACTACTCAGTAATTAAAAATATTGCCTTGCAAATTACTGATGTCCTGACTTCAGAGAGAATTAACTCAGATTCTGGGCAAGGATCAATTATTGCCATGAGTAACCAGACAAGGAAATGATCTTGGCCGTGGCGTCTGTCTAAATTTTTAAAAGACTTCTGCCTCTTTTGCCCTAGAGGGCTACATAAAAATGTCAAATTAAATTTATAATTGATGTAGAGGCTCAAGGCGGCTTATATTTTTTCCCCTGCAGCCTGTCTAAGGCAGGAAGAGGCACCAACAGGTGTGCCTAGCTGGAGAATGGAAGGATGGGAGAGGGTAGCATGCATGCATGGCAAGCATACAGGATAAATATGAAGAGGCAGGGGAGAGAAGCTATGAGAGTGCAAAATTTGGGGTGAAGGAAGGGTACAATATAAGGAAGACAGCAGATTGCAAAACAACCTTGCTGTGTGTTAAGCCACTAATGTGAAAACATCCTACATCAGGGATGGGGAACCTTTGTACAAGGCTGGCAGGCCGCCCACCTGTCACTCAACTGGTGTCACTATGGCAACAGGCGATGCTGCGCTTTGGAGTCCCAGGTCGTCAAAACTTCCAGAACTGTTTGAAAGCCTTTTGCTGTTTCCCTCCCCTCTTACTTTGGATTTGCACCAGCTGAAGCTTAAGCCCTGCCTAGATCAGGTGGAGTTCAATGCATTTGCACTCCAGAGCCTGCCTCACGGTGTTTGCTTCCTGTGAGGAAGTGTGGGATCAAGCTGAAGCCATGAATTCAAATCCAGAGCAGGAAGTATAGCTAAGATCAGGGTCTCTGCATCCTGCAAATCTGAACTGCACACTGCATTTGGTCTACAACCGAATTATGAAAAGAGAGCATCTCTGGCATTCACCCAGGAATAAAGCAAACGGGGGGGAACGACACATTCTTTAATGAGTGTGTTGTTGCCAAAATAGCACACTGCCACTTGGACAGAAGGCAACTTCACTGCCACCTCATCTCCTGAAACCCTTCATTGTGAAGCCCAGCTAATCATAAGCTGGCCCATCTCCCATCTTGGGCACTGCTGCTGATGAGCTTGTCAAAAACTCACACTAAAGAGCAATTGTCTCTCTCGGAGGCTGTGGCACCAAATGCCAGCTTGCCTCCCTTTTCCCAGCCATCCCATTAATTGTGTTCCTTTCCCTCATTAGCACACAGCCAGGAGGATGAAAGAGGCCTTTTGTCTGACTAATGAACAGGGCAGATCTACCACCAAATCCTCCTGTCTTCCCCACAATCCTGCCTTCATCATGTGCTGCACAAAATACAAACGTGGTGTTTCTGCAGAGCTGTGCACCCAGACAAATCCTTCGTGTGCAACAGTAGTATTGCCTCTTTGTTCCCTACGTTGTGCATTGAGAGGATAAAGTGGTGCATGCAGTTGATATAAGATTTGGGATTGAGGCCTATGGTCACAGCCTCCATATTCACCAGATATCCGTTTTGGAAAAGCTTAGGGAGGCAGTCCAGACAGCAATTTATCCTCCAGTCTAGCACACCAAAGCACATTCAGCCACTGATTACTGGTGCATAAATGTCTGCAGGAATTAGTTGCAATTGTGTAAAAGTATTTGTCCAACAGGAGACCTAAACAACTGGAGCTCATAATCTTCTACAACAGAGTTAAGTTCCCTGCCGATTTCTGCTTGCGGCAGCTAGGCACTGTGCCAATACAGGCTATGTTACTGTCTTTAATTGGGGGACAGGGGGACAATAGTGACATTGCAGATGCAGGTAAACTTTCCCAGTCAATACTGAGCATCAATAATTTTGCTTCTCTGAGTGCAGCAAGGCCTCCTCCCTCCCTCTTGCAAATTAATTAAGCGCCAGGGTATATTTCTTCCATCTCTGACAAACTGGGGCCAATGATGAAAGCACCTTTTAAAGAGCCAGCCTCATCTGTCTTTTCCTAATAACATTCATCACCAAAAGGGCATGAGCATTCCTCTCTACTATATCCTCCCCACTGACAGCAAGCACATAGTATTTTCAGTTCATTAAACACTAGCTGAGCTGCAGGGAAGATGCTCATCCAGGAACATCTATTCCAGTCCAAATGTATCATCAGGTACCTTTCTGCAGAAATCCACATTTAAACCCCTTTGGGGGGTGGCAGAATTGTATAGAACTGCAGCCAACACTGAAAAATTAGGGGAATGCCGCTTACCCATCAGATAATAATGAGAGCACTCATATTTAGTGCTCAGAGGAGAAACATATAAAAATGTGTGCATTAGCAATCATGGAAATAAAAAAGCCTCAATGTAAGGCAAGTCAGTGTAATGACTTGTTCTTTGCTTTCCGTGCGAAAGCTGAGATTTCAAAAGACCTTTTGAAAGGGACCTGTTTTGGCCCAAAAGGTTATAGGCCCCTATGCTGTTCCTGCACACTGGAGCTATCTGAGAACTGCTTGGACACTTCAGCAATTAAGCAGCATATGAATACCTTAAATAAATAAATACTTTGAATTTCTAATAGTCCAGCAGCACCTGCCCAAGCAATTTCGACAAACCTCATACAGTACTAGCTATGGTCCCTGGTCAACTGATCTATGCTGGAGCTCTGCACTGACTGGCCTCAGGTGAACTTCCATTCCTATCCCTCAGTTCATTTGGGGAATGGGAACAACAGCACTCCAATCTTGCAGATTTGTGAACAGCGGTGGCTGAAATGAGGACAGCTTTGATTATTTGTTCACCACAGAACTACCACAGAACTCATAGCCTTCATCCAATAGATAGAGCTGCCTTTGCACAGTGCGCATCTTCAATAGATAACCAAAACATGTATTTTCATCTTGTAAAAGTTCAGCTTTTCTGGGACACAGAGGCTGGCTTGCCTTCAGGAAGAGGATCCAGTTATCCTGATACCTCTCTGCCTCTCAGATTCTTCCTCTTGCAGCTTCTATGATTAACACCATCAGTGATTGCAATGGAGAAGATAAGAACATAGGTCTGATCTGTGCTTTAGCACACTTATTTTGCAGGCCTCCTTCATCCTTCTCAGCACACTGTCTTCAATGGATTTTGGAAGGGGTGCATAGATAAGTAATTCCCTCTTCAAGCTATAACAAAACAGCCGATACATCCCCATCAACGCCTCATGAGCCAGAGTTTGCTTGAAAAACAAATCGCTTTGGGGAGAGAGGAGTGTTGAGAGATCTCCTCCATCCAACTCCCACATCTAATAGTTTGTTAGGTTTTTGTAGTGCTTCAAAATGCACACAAAACCTAGAGATGATAGAAGTGTGAGTGCATGGAGGAAGCAATGCTAAAAAGCCACTTTCATGTCTCTTTAAAACTATTGACACACATAACAGGAGAGGGTTACCAACCCCTGCCTTCACCAGATAAAACAAGAGAACGGGGCTAGAGTTGCCAGCCAAGCACCAAACATCTTAACCAACATTGAGAGAACACAGTGCTGAGGTCCGTCCATTCATGATATTTTTAAGGGTGAAATCTGCAAGGGAGGGAGACCAAGCCAGGACATTCACAGGCAGTGAAATATACAATTGTTAAAAGATGGGATAAGGTGATGGGGGAGGAGGTTTTCTTGCCCACTGACCCAACACAACAGCTGCACCGAGTCAAAAGCTTCTCTGCTTTCCCAACATATCTGTATGGGAAATTCAGACTCGCAGAGATTTACACATTCCCCCCCAAGTGTGGAGAAACAAGCAGGCTCAATCCACCTGCCTCGCTTTCATTCCCTGCGAGGCTGTGTGGCCTGTCAAGGGAAAGAGCCGTGGACTTTTCTCTGAGCCCTGCATCACAGCAAAGTCAAAACCGGGCAAAAGGCAGGACTTACCCTCTGCTAACTATCAGCCTTAATGCATCCAAGTTGCCATGGTAGGCGGCCCATAGGGTTGGGGTCATGCCATCCTCATCCAGCGAGTTGAGGTCTTTCTTGGTGGCTTCCTTCAGCAGGTCGAGGTAGCCATCCCTGGCTGCCCTGTGGTAGTGGTCGTTCATGGTGTAGCTTTACTCCCTGGCCGCTTCATTGGGAAGGGCGAGAGGGGATAGTAAGAGGACGGGCATGGAGTCTGAGGAGAGAGTTCCAGGAAAGCAGCTGGCTGAGAAAAGAGAGGAGGAGGGAGCTTTGTTACTTGGACACCTGAGAATCCCTGACCAGTGAGGGGAGGAACTCCTCATATTGAATGCATGAGATTAGTTTCTGTGGATTCCCCTGGGTCCTAAGGATTCCTTGCCTCTCTCTGGTGAGCACTTCACCTTAGCAAACCCCTTGCAGAAGACACTCGTTCTGTCCTCTTCCTAGCAGCAAAATGGGCTGGTAACACTGTGGAATTCTCTGCTCAGCTGTTGCCTCAATAGCTGAAGTTCTTGCTTAAAGGGACTTAAAACTTTCTGCTATTCTGAGACATTTTCTCCCTCACCTCTCTTCAAATCTGAGATAACAGTGTTGTTGTGTTTTTTTGAAAGGAAGTTTCTGGGAGGGATAGTTGCCGCATACAAAAATCCACTTTTGAAAAGGCTTCCCTCCACAATTTCCATTCAACAGAGAACTCTACAACTGTGTGAAGCAGCAAAGCAGCTGACTTTTAACCAGTTAGACCCTTGCACCATCTAGCTCAGTATTGTGGGCACTGACTGGCAGCTCTCCAGGCCTTCAGGCAGGGGGTCTCTCCCAGTCCTACCTGGGAGGGGTGGGCAATAGCCCTGGGACCTTCTGCATGAAAAACACCACCCACTGTGCTATGGCACTTCCTCCAGTGTTTACCCAAGTGAGAAGGCTCAGTTTCAGAATAGCAGTAGTTGTCTTCCAGGAATGTTCTTCAGAATTGCATTGTGCCTGTTTACTACGCAGTGTATGCCCACATCTATTGCAGGCTGCGCGTGTGGTGCCTGTACGATGCATGTGCTTCCAGACCTGTTTGTTGCATCAACCATCTCAGTTATGCGTGACCTGAATTTCAAAGGGCTGTGAGTGACCACTAGTTCCCTCTTCCTGGCTCTCTTTGGGAATACCTGGTCTTCTGGCGCCATCTGTTGCTCAGAGAATGAAATTCACTTAGAAGCTCTACCAGAAATGAGTGGCACTTTAGTGGCATAAGCTGTCATGGACTAGCGTCCAGAAATGTTTGTTTCCTTCCCAGCCTTATTAAGCATGGAACTGGATGATTCACTCCTGCAGTTTTCTTAGGATAAATGGCTGCAAATGGCATTCTATTGCAATAGCATAAGTGGATGTAATGGATCATTATTTTTTAATGTAAACTTCTTGGAGGTTTTGATGGTGAAGTGGTGTATAAATCTGGTTAAGTCAGCGAACAACTCATTGCCAGGGTGCCTTCCCTACAGTGCAATAACAGCAATCTTCTAACTAATCTGAATTGTGCACTATTGGCTAAAGGACACTGATATTTAAGCACAAACAAAAACACAGACCCACAGGAAACAACACTGGCATTTCATGCCTAGGATAGTCAGGTGAAAAAGGGCTAAAGGTAAAGGTAAAGGGACCCCTGATCATTAGGTCCAGTCGTGACCGACTCTGGGGTTGTGGCGCTCATCTCGCTTTATTGGCCGAGGGAGCCGGCGTACAGCTTCCAGGTCATGTGGCCAGCATGACTAAGCCGCTTCTGGCGAACCAGAGCAGCGCACGGAAATGCCGTTTACCTTCCCGCCGGAGCGGTACCTATTTATCTACTTGCACTTTGATGTGCTTTTGAACTGCTAGGTTGGCAGGAGCAGAGACCGAGCAACGGGAGCTCACCCCGTCGCGGGGATTCGAACTGCCGACCTTCTGATCGGCAAGTCCTAGGCTCTGTCGTTTAACCCACAGCGGGGCTCCTTTGTCTTTAATAGTTGTGTAGAAAAGGGTTTGGTTGTGATTTTGTTTTGTTGCCATTTATACTGAAATCCCCTCCCCTGCATAACTATTACAGGCACAAGAGCTCTGTACTCTTTTTATCTGGCCCCCAGCTCTAGAAATATGCAGGAGATAAGACACCGACAATGCAGTCCTTATATATCACATCTACTCAGAAGACCCAGTAAGTTCAATGGAGCTCGTATAGGATCAATGGAGTGTGTATAGGATTTCAGCCTAAAGAGGTTTTACTTCCAGCTCAAGACTGGCAGGTTGATACTAAGCCAAGGCCAATTGTTGCTGTCATGCTTTTTAAAAAAGAATAATAATAATGAAATGAAATATGACCTGTGCAGTATGGTTTGTGATAAGATCCCACCTTCCCACCATTTTTACTGTCAAGTGACCTTGACCCTCTCTTCCTCATCCTTTCTTCCCTAAAACTAGCTACTGCACAAAATGGATCATGTGAGCCTTACTGAGTTTATGAAGATCACTGGTGGTGTAAATCACAGAGGCGTCCGGACAGATATAAATTCCAGAGCATCTGTGAGCTGGGGGAAAAGGAAGCTTGTGTGAAAGCAGCGGTGAGGAAAGAGAGTCGACTTGCGGGTGGAAAACAGGTAGGTGCATTTGTTCTTTGTTGTGATTACAGTTCTTGTCTCTTCGTGCCTAGTTATAAAATACCAACTTAGCGATATTAGTAACAAATCTTAACTCCAGCACCGCACGCAATCCCATGCATCTAAAGTAAGTTCAGTTTGTTTTCAACAGGACTTATCCCCAGGCTGATGCTCATACGATTGCAATCTAGGGCTGTAGGTTGCAATACACACCTGGGAATACACTCTCACTGAATTTAGTGGGACATACTTCTGAGCAGATATGCACATAGACTTGCACTGTAAGATGCTTGCAGGATCAAGCAAAGTGGTTAAGAATCCTTTGGAGGCTATTACTGATCAGATGCCTTTTTAAGGTCCTCATTCTTTGATACACAGAAATCAAAGTTCTCCAACTGTATTGCTGCATTGTGAAGAAGCACATTATGTAGAGGAATACTGCTGCTGGAGTATATTCTCAATGGAGTTTGTAGGAGCCAACGCCAATGGCTGAGGTCCCTTCGCCCCTGCCCCCCAATATAATATTTGAAGGGGTCAGCCTCCCCGCCAAAAAGTTGATGGGCATTGCCATTCAAATGGTGTGTGTGCACTATGTCTTGTGATTGATATTTTTATTCAAATTGGCACCCCAGATGTACTCCCCAGCTGATCTGTTTCTTCACAATGCAGTAGTACAATTAGATTGTTCTTGCTGCTTGCAAATCCCTCAAAATAAAGGCCTTAGAAAGTAACAGAATAGGCTTTCACAACATGGGAGCTTGCTATGGAAAGAGCAGTTGAAAGATTGCACCTTGAAGCCCACCTTTTCAGGTCTTACTGTTCTCTTTTTATGTGCATCTTCCCCTTTTTTCTAACAATACCATAATTTTCAATGACACTAACATAGGTGTGTACATTTTCTCTCTTCCTGCCCCCACCTTCAGGCCAGCAGCATCTCCTTGGTGCCCATTAAATCATGACCGAAGTATCAATGTGGCAAGACTGTGAGATCAGACGTGAGGATTCCATTATGGGCTCCGGCCACAAGGACGATAAGGGCAGCTTTGGACCTGACCCGCTATCTCCCACCTCTCCCATTGGCTCCCACAAGTGCCCGTCTCCCTCGCCACACAGCTCCAAAGAAGTCTGGAAGAAAGGAGGGCGTGTCTTCTCCATTCTACTAGCCATCAATTTGGTGCTTCTGTCCTGCACACTGGTCAGCGGTGGGGCTTTCCAAGAAGTAAAGCTGCATGACTATGATGTCTTTTTCATGCTCATCATTGTGATGCTGATCAACATTGCCTGGATGCTCTTCTACATCTTCAGAACCTCCAGGCTGCAGGGTGCCATTCCTTGCAAGGACAACCATGCAGGGCCCATCTGGCTGAGAGGTGAGCAGGAAGCTATATGTTGTTGGGTGGGAAGGACAAAGCGTAAACATGATGAGCAAGTGGGTCTTATTCCCATGGGAATGGGGCAAATCCACGAAAGGGGTGCTGCTGCATTCATAAGAACATAATAAGAGACAGCTGGATCAGGCCAGCGGCCCACTGTAGTACATCAACCTATTCTCACAGTGGCCAAGCATAGTCCTGCCTATATTTAATCAAAAATCTCAACTGTTCTCTAAGTTCTGCGAGACTTGCTGTTCTGTTGAGAGCCGTAAGCGGGAAATACCTTCAGTGTCTAAGAAGAAAGCTAGGTAAAAAGTTATGTCACATTTGGTGTGGCAGCCAGAGGTGATGCCAGGGTCTGGAGCATCTAACCCAGGTTCATGAGTTTTCAAAGCAAAGCCTTTGATCCAGTACAATCCCTAAAACACACACACACACACCCCACACCCCACACCCCAACCACTTCTCCTCCAGTGCTTTGGAGAGCGTTAAGGAGGGTGGATTTAAGAATTACAGAAGCAAGCAAGTGACATACTATTGCTGGGGAGGCTCAGATGTCTTGTCTGGCCAAACAGAAAATGGCGCAGTGCAGATCTTTTGCCAAAGGGGCCCAGCAGAAATCTGGAGCCAGCTCTGAGTACCCGTGTATAATCAAGGACTTGGAAGAGTTGGAGCTCCATTTACTGAGACGGATTCTGCACCCTGACATTGAGTTTGGACTTGATTTGCTTGAGGCAACACACACACACACACACACACACACACACGTATTCCTTTTTATAAAAGCAAAAATAACCCAATTAGACTCCTGTTTCAGCATGGTACCTTGTGCATGAAATTCCATTATTGTTACTTTATGTGGGCTGCTGGCATAAAGGATCCATGGCTGTGGGTAAAAAGACAAAATGGAGGAACTTTAGGAGTCTAGGAATCTGATGTGCATGGAATGTGATTGCATTTTCTTTCCAAAACAGGAGGCTTGGTCTTGTTTGCAGTCCTCTCACTGGTAATGGATGCTTTTAAGACCGGATATTATTCCAGCTACTATAAGTGCCTGTCACCCATCAGAATAATGTTTCCAGTGGTACAGGGTGTGTTTGTGATCACTCAGGTGAGTCGGACTCTTCTTTGGGGTACATAGGAGATGGTCTATGGTGGGGGGAGCCAGCCTGGGACTCTCCAGATGTTGTTGGACCCCAAATCCCATCAGTTCCAGCCAGCATGGCTAAGGCTTAGGGAAGATGGGAGTTCAGATCTTGCTGTGACTGATTCACTGAACCCAGCACATGCAGCAACCTTAGCTGAGACGAGGAAGCAAAAGAAATGGGTGGTGGCAAGTTCTTTAGCCTTGTTAGCTGTGCTTGTGTTTACTGGAGACTGTTCTTAGTTAGGACCTTGTCTGCTAGGAGGAGACTGGATAAAATTATGCCACTGTTTCCTTTTTGTGTGGCCTCACAGCTGCCTGGTTAATATACTTGGAGAGCCTCTTGTCTGTCTTTTGGATTACTTTTAGACCTGGAAAGGTTAACATTCCTGTAGAAAACATTCTCATGAGCACAGGAGAATCTGTCACTAATTAGATCCAGGACATTTCCAAACTATGGGGTTTTTTGGGGGGAGGGGAGATCTGAGTGTATTCTGCAACATGTCACTGATGCAGTAATTGTGCATTAGTGGTGGATTTGTACTTGGCTGTCCACACAGCATCCTGCTTCATTAGTTTAACACTCTTCTACAGGAATGATGTGTAGAAACAGCTGGGTGGGAAATGAACCCTACAGCCATTTTATATTGGAAGGGCAAGGATATTAGTAAGACTAGCCATGCCTTTAAGGCCCCAAAGTGATCCTTGGGAGTTTGCAAGTTTGCATCGCTTAGAAGTGGAAGGAATATTTCCTCTATAAGCTGGATGAAGGGACAGAAGTTACTAAATAGGATAAGAAGAGTAAATGTGACATCAAATTTCTTTGCTCTCTTTTTTTGCCTCTTCCATTCATTCCCTGTCTACTTTGGAATGTCATTTTAAATATATATACTTCTTCCCCGTTCTAGACTGTCTTCCTCTGGATGTCTGCCCAAGACTGCATCCACAAGCATCTGAATCTCACCAGGTAAATATCCAGGCCACCTAACCGAGTTTTTCCATGCTGCTTTGTCATTTTATTAAGCCTCAGCCTAGGCTGGCTGAATAGAGGGCCGAATCCCAACATGCTAGCCATGACATCATCATCAGTAATGAAAGACAAGGAGGGGATCTGCAACAAAATGTAGGGTCCTGTTCCATCTTAAAGGGCTCTTTGAAAAGGCCAGCCAAAGACATGTTGCTGCTTGAGGTAGAACAGCAAATGATATTGTGGGTTGCTCGTGCGTAAATTGGCGCCACACCTGGCTGGGTTGCCTGAATGAACCCTTTCTATCCGGACAGCCACTCGCCCGTGGCTGTCTCAATCGCTGGCAGAATCCGTCAGTGGGCGTTTCTTGAACTTCTTCCAGCAAAGAAGCTCTTTGACGCCTAGTCTCCGCCTACTCTCCCTGCGCGGAAGCCTTCTGCGCAGGGAGGGTGTGGGCAGCGGAGGACCCGTGCTCTCCCTGCTGGTCCCCGGCGAGGAGTCATGGAGCCACCTCGCCGATTCCCCCCATCTGCCCCCCTTCTCCACTGATGCTACGCTGATTTCCTTCCCCAGAAGATGTGCTGCTTCTCTCCCTCCCGGGACGCTCTCCGGAATCCCTCTGGAGCCCTCCCTCTCCCCCTGGCTCCGATGGCAGTTCCCTGACAGATATCATCCTCTCAAGACCAGCCAAGTTATTCTGGGAACTGAGTCAGAAAATCCCACAAGTATCTCTCCCCCTCCCTGGCAGTAAATATACAATCATAATAAGTAAATAACAACTTGCTGCCTTCTCGTGAATCCCAGAATTGGTTGCTTGAAGTGGCTGTCTTGCTCTACCTAATGGTGGGTGTCCTCTGCAAGTTCCTGCTCTTTAATGACTCCAGAGGATAAGTTACAGGTAGATAGCCATGTTGGTCTGCTGTAGTCAAAACAAAATAAAATAATTCCTTCCAGTAGCACCTTAGAGACCAACTAAGAAGTGTGCATGCACACGAAAGCACATACCAATAACAAACTCAGTTGGTCTCTAAGGTGCTACTGGAAGGAATTTTTTTATTTTGTTCCAGAGGATAACTACATGATGGAAGATCTCTTCTCTCTGCCTGTTGCTGTTGTTGGTCTTGGCCCTCCTGATGGAAATAGCTAACAGCAACAACAGCAGCTTAGAATTTTTATATTGAGCTTTTTCTCAGTGCTCCAAAATCCCACCTCTTGCATTTATTGTCATGATGTATAATCCTGTAATGAACAGAGTTTAACTCCATGGTTCCACGCTTTCTCTTCCTACAGATGTGGCTTGATGCTCACGTTGACCACCAACCTAGCAGTGTGGATGGCAGCTGTAACAGATGAGTCAGTGCATAAGGCTGAATCAAAGAACCCAATTGCAAATGTTACGCACAGAATGGGTAAGTGGCTCAAGCAAGGCAATCCGTTTAGAATAACTTAGATTAAAACTCACAAGGCTTGCTCACTCACACATTACACTAAACTCAAGTACAAGCTGTCTCTGCACATGTACAAGTGGTTGCATGAAGCAATGAATACTTGTAGATTTGCACAACTCGATTACTGTGTACATGGACTGCACACCTGGTTGAATGTTAATATGTGAATAATTCTACAGATGTACAGCTCAGCTCCTTATGTACACAGATTATACACTTGTCGAACGTTCATGTGTGGACATGCCTACAGTGCAGTGGACAGCCCTACAGAGCAGCAGTTTCATAGTGGATCATTTTACAATTTTCTTTTACTTTTGCTTATATTAAAGAGCAGTTTACCCAAAAGCAGACTTCAGTGGAAACTTCCATGGAGTAAGGTTGAAATTAGGGTCCCCACTTCTTAACCAGCCCATATCTGCCCTATCTCCTGAACATTCCAAGGCCAGGAAAAATTAGTTGGGTAGTGGTGGTGTTTCTTTGTTTTGTGAAGTGCTACATAGATTATTCGAATCCCTGCGAGGGGGTGAGCTCCTGTTGCTCGGTCCCAGCTCCTGCCAACCTAGCAATTCGAAAGCACGTCAAAGTGCAAGTAGATAAATAGGTACCGCTCTGGTGGAAAGGTAAACAGCATTTCCGTGCGCTGCTCTGGTTTGCCAGAAGCGGCTTAGTCATGCTGGCCACATGACCCGGAAGCTGTACGCCAGCTCCCTCGGCCAATAAAGCGAGATGAGCGCCACAACCCCAGAGTCGGTCACAACTGGATCTAATGGTCAGGGGTCCCTTTACCTTTACCTTTACATAGATTATTGTCCCCCTTCTGCACCACAACTCACAAACTAAAAAATTCTTCCTGGGAAGACATCAGGAACAGGCCTCAGCCTCACATGCTCCCATCCCTTCCCTGGTGTTCCTACTCCATTCTGGAAAGTATGAGAAGTGAATCACCAACAAAGGAGGCCTGCTGTTATCTGAACAAGAAATCTCCCCAGCCGCCAAGAAAATAAACTGTTTCTAAAAGCGTAGTCGGCCATTCAGTTTCTCATTTAGCTCCTGTAAGAAGGGGTTGGGAGGGAGAGCATGGGCTTGTGTGAGTGAACCTAAGGGCCCCTCTCAGTATCCCTCTCTGAAGATGATAACATCCAAAGAAACCCAAAATAATCACACACACACACCTGCCCCTTCCCCTACCTCTTAGGCTAACTAGTTTCAGAGTTGTTGGGAGGGGGGACATCTGTGTGTATCATTTTGACCACCACAGAGGAAAAGCAAGATATAAGTGTAATGCACAAAGCACCTGTAGAGTTTTGAGAGGGCTTGAAGAATCATGGAGATGGCTCTGAGGTGACAGCTCTCATTTCAATCCCATTCCAACAAAATTCATAGATATTGCAATCTTTGGCTCGTTTCTTCTCAGAGTCCTATTTTGTTTAAAGAACAAAAACCTTTCACAGAGCAGTAAGTAGCCCCTAACAAGCTTGTTTTCTTTTCGTTGCAGCTCTGTTAATGATGAGGGCGGCCTCGCAGGCAGAAAACTGTGCCTGCAAAAGCCAACTCTGCAAGATCTTCCAGAATGGCTATTACTGGCTGTACCCCTTCAATATCGAGTACAGCCTCTTCGCTTCCGCCATGGTCTACGTCATGTGGAAGAACGTTGGCCGCCTCATTGACCCCCATGACAACCATATCCACCAACTGAAGTTCAAGCTTTTCAGAAGGACTTATTTTTTGGGCACCATCGTGGGGTTCTTGGTCCTTGTGACGGGCATAGCGGTCCTGATTGTGTATGAGATTCAGGTAAATTCAAAGGAAGACTCTAAGAGGACCGACCAGGTGCTCACTATGTATTTCGGCTTCAACATCATTTGCCTGAGCCTGATGTCCGCCATCTGCATCGCAGGCTCCATCGTTTATAGATTTGACAAGAGGGACATGGACCATCACAAGAACCCAACCAGAACTTTGGATGTAGCATTATTGATGGGTGCAGCCTTGGGGCAATATGCCATTTCCTATTACTCTATTGTGGCCACAGTGGCCAGTTCACCAAGGGACACTATAAATGCCCTCAACTTGAGCTATTCCCTGCTGATGCTTGCTCAACCCACTTTCCAAAACATTTTCATCATTGAAGGCCTGCACCGGCAACCCCCAGAAGAGGAAGACAAAGTTGACCCTCAGCAGAAGGATATCTATGGGCTCACTTTTGTCAATATGAATGCAGTATCGCTCCGTGTCCCTGAGAGTTTGAGTGCTCTGCCGCCCAGCGCACTGCCAGGGTTAGCCATTCAGACTTCTGAAGCGAGGCGGTCCCTTAAGGCCTCCAAGAAAATGAACTGGAGAAGAAGATTCCTAAAGGAGATCTCAGTGTTCCTGCTCTTGGGGAATGCCATTGTAAGTAAATCAGCTAATTAATTTGGAAAATTTCTTATTCCTTGGGTGGGGGGAAATACATAGCAGCAAAGCATGCAAGGAACTCCTGCTCTGAGGCAGGGGGGAATGTAGATGTACATCTTGAGTATTTCCTTTTATAACCAGTTGCGGTCATGTTAATTACACCAACACATGTTCATGTGTGACAAAAGATGTAGCTGTAGGTTGTGTAGTGGAGTCTCTGATAGAACTAGGTGTTAACAAGAGACATGGAACTCTAGTAACAGTGTGCTTTCTCTCTCTCTCTCTCTCTCTGCTAACAAAACGTACCGTATTTTTCCGTGTATAAGACTAGGGTTTTTCCCTAAAAAATAATGTCAAAAATTAGGGGGCGTCTTCTATACAGGGCCATCTCCCCCATTTTCTTAAACCTGAGCCCCCCCAAAAATAGGGGTGTCTTATACATGGAGGCATCTTATAGAAGGAAAAATATGGTATATTACACTGTATTTTTTTTCTATACAGGGCTCACCCACACTTCCTTCTGTGCCATGCTTTCTAGGCTAAAGTCCAGGCTTTCCAGATCCAGAATTTCCAAGCTGTTTTACCTCCTTCCACTGCTTTCCCCTGGAAAACCGGCATTTTTCTGCTGAATCCAAGCAAACCTTTGCTCCGATTCAGTGGTAAAACCCGGGTCTCCCCGGGCAAACAGTAGGACCGATTCAGTGGTAAAACCCGGGTCTCCCTGGGCAAACAGTAGGACCAAAACAAGTGCTCAGACGTGGGCCTGGAAATCTTGGATCTGTGCCTACAGTAGAAAACACAGCACAAAAGGAAGTGTGGATGAGCCCACAGAGTGGAAGAAACGCATGGCACGATGGCATCATCTCCTGTCCTGTTAGTTTTAAATGCTATTGAGAAGTGAGCTCCAGGTCTCTTGAAAAGCCTAGTTTCTGCCCTTTATAGCTTGCTGATATAAAACTATGTAATACAGAGGGTGCTTACAGATTCCTAATGTTCTTGTGTGATTTCCCCCCCCCCCTTTCTTTCCCCAAACAGCTCTGGGTCATGCCAGCCTTTGGAGCCCGGCCACAGTTTGACAACAAAACAGAGCTTGCGTTCTACGGTTATCCCATGTGGGCTGCCATTGTGGACATCTGCCTGCCATTTGGCATCTTCTACAGAATGCATGCAGTGGCTAGCCTTCTGGAAGTCTACATCATGTCTTAATCGGAACAATGAAGAGTTTCTTATAAGGACCTATGTTATCATGCCCCTCCCAGGACTGGATGATGCACTTAATTTGGGGGGGGGGGAGGTTGAGTTTCACTTTGATGTCAGACCCTGGTGATTCGTGGGCTGGCAATAGCCCACATGTACCCTAGGGATTTTGTTTGTTTCTTTGTTTTCCCGTGTGTGTTTTGTCGTTCTATTTAAGTGCCTCCTTTTCTTCATCCTACTAAGGGTTGTTCATCTTTGACTACTTTTCTCCCCCCCTTCCCCCTACCACCACAAAATGCTGACATGGACTGTTTGTAGCCTGAGGCTAATTCCTGGTCACTTTAAGGCCTGTTCAGTCAACCAGTCTAGGGAAGGTCAGTTTGAAAGAAGAATCAAGTGAATGTTGAAGCCAGTTAAACACTCCGCAGTCGTTTGGATGGCTTTGTAGGTTCGTGTTGTCCCCCCCTCCACGGAGATTAAATCCAGCGGTTATTAATGGCCTTGGGGAGTATGACCCTGTTGGAACTCACACGATAAGTATAAGGCTGAAGTCCCAGAGGTTTCAGTGAAACTTACTTGCTGTCCTGAATCAGGGCCTGCAGCGTGCCAGAGTGTAGGGTTGTGCTTTCAAAAGGGTATTGAGATATGTTAGTTTTTAAAGGTAGCTTAATAATTTTTTTAACGAGTCTATTTTTATATGAAAAAATATTTATTGATTTTCATTCTGACAGCACACACACACACACACACACACACACACGATTGAATAGGGGCATTGAGGCAGTCACCATTGAACTCAGTACAATGGCAGCGCCTAAAGTGCAGGCATGCCTAAAAAGGTCAGAGCCTCTTCCTCAGCTCAGATGTTGTAGGAAGCGGGGTGTTCGTTGTTACCCTTGCTTGGCCTTCAAAGTTGACTGAAAATTATTGGGTGAGGTGTCTGCAGATGTGTCCTACATACAGTGGGATTTGATGGCTTTTCTTTTCAAAGTCTCCACCATCATCAGCTTTTAGTCCAGCCTTCCAAACCTAGAGGCCTCTGGATTTATTTTATTTTTTACTACAGTTCCCATCACCCCTTGCCATTGTCTAGTCTAGATGGGGCTGATGGGAATTGTAGTCCAAGACATCTGGAGTGCATCAGGGTTTTGGAAGGCTGTTTAAATCCAATGCAAAGCTTTGGAAAGCCTAACCTGCTCAAGATGCTCTTCCATATTGGCTAGGGCCATCATATATGTTACAAATCCTTCATAGACACTATACAGGGAATATTCTCTCAATGGAAAGTCTTGAGGCTCATTCAGTTAGAATATCCCTGCTCTTTTTCGGTTGTTATTCAAGCATCCCCGCCCCCATGAATTTTGAATGACTGTCAACATGTAAGCAGCCCAGATAGACATTCGTACACTTGTGGTTAAAATTTAGCCCATCTAAATCTTTGCCATAGTTTAGTGACGTTCTTCCACTGGAAGCCGCAGCTGCAACATTAAGATGGAGAGTAGAGGTGATGGTTCCGTCAGCTGATTCCATTCCCCCCAAATGTTTGTAGATCCAGATTTACTAGGTACACACCTACATGCACTGCCAGGATTTAAAAAAACCATGAAACTGTATTCACAATGGAAAGAAATGTCTTTTGCTGCTTAAAACATGGAGGGCGGGTGTTGGAAAATCTAAAATGTACAAATAAATGAAAATCATGTTTGATTTGGGTGAGTTTATTCTCTTCTTTTGATATGCCTTAAGGATCAATGCAGAGGGGTAAGGTTGGGTTGGGGTTTGAGCTGATTTACTGCGTCAGATACCAAAAGTCATTTAGAAGTTTGGAGTCTACATTTCCATGGATACAGTTGGGGGAAAGAAACATTTTTGTGCAGAAGTAAAAATATTTTAGCTGGAATCCTAAGAGTCAGCATAAGTTAATGGAAGGAAGGTTCCCACTGTAGGGATTTACATGCCCTCCAAAACCTCTTAGGTTTCAGATATGGGGCTATGTGGGGCTGTGTTCACATTCCCGTTTAATGTGCACTCACTTTGTTTCAAGTGCTGGGATTTTAATCCATATTCGCACGACATTACCCATAATGCATATGGATCCTGTACTTCATTATGAGATCCTGTTGTTTAATGCATTGTTTCTCAAACCAGTTTCACACTGATTGGAACCATTAAGCCACTCCTAATTCACCTTTAGTCAAGGTGTGAACACTCTTGCACAGGGTAAAGGCATCCCGTCCTGTCAAGGGGAAAGCACCTTCACTGCACTTTAAGGTGCTAATGTGAACACACTCTAGGATAGGGCATTGAGGCTGCTGAGAAGAAATCACCAAAGCAGCTTCGCGGCCCCTCAAAAATCTGTGTCCAGGGCCATGGTCCCTTTGCCCTGTCCCATGCTACGCCCCTGGCCCCTGCAGTCATACCATAGCCATGGGCAGTGCGAACCATAGTTCATTATCTAAATCCTGGTTATATTGTCAAATATACAATGAAACCCAATTTTGTTTTCTGAAGAAGAAGAAGAAGAGTTTAGATTTGATATCCCGCTTTATCACTACCCGAAGGAATCTCAAAGCGGCTAACATTCTCCTTTCCCTTCCTCCCCACAACAAACACTCTGTGAGGTGAGTGGGGCTGAGAGACTTCAGAGAAGTGTGACTAGCCCAAGGTCACCCAGCAGCTGCATGTGGAGGAGCGGAGACGCGAACCCGGTTCACCAGATTACGAGTCCACCGCTCTTAACCACTACACCACACTGGCTCTCAAGCATCTGTAAAGAGATAACTGAGCTGCATTTGGCTGGCATGCAGGAGAGAGCATTCTGTAGAGTTTCACCTAGATTTTGGAATTTCCTTCTGAGGGAGGCCTGCTTAGCCTCATCCCCAGCGGCCCTCTCTCAGCTTGCGAAGATTGGTCTCTTTCACCTGCTTAATTCTACCTGCCCAGTTACTGTTTAATTTTTATTGGCTGTCTCCTCCTGATCTCTGTAGTCTTTTTTTTTTTTTTAATCATGCATTTTAACAAATATCTATTGTTTACCTCATATTGAGAGTTTCAACGGAAAGATGGGGAGTACAATTTTAGAAAAAGAACTAAGCAGGTGGTTTTTAAAGGACACAGTTAAGCACACTGTTTGCTGATGGTACTTACATGTCATTTTGTTTGCAGGAGGCGCTAGCGCAGTGTTTGCCAACCTGGTACCTTCCAGATGTTTTTGACAAAAAAAAACCCCACTAGCGCCAGTGAGAGCAGTCAATTCTAGTTCAAAACCTCTGGAGAAGGGGCATCAGGTTTGCAGAGGCTGCCCTAGTGTGTAGCCGCTGGTGGTGTTCTGTGTACATTTCAGGGCTGCTCTTGGCCTATAAAGTTTTCAAGATCCAACATGATTAACAGACAGGCCATTTCCCTCTGTCCTGCCATTAATTTTACCTCAGAAGAGCATAGTGCCCTTGTGGCACGCTGCTATCCACAGGCACCCTTGGGTGGTATTATTTCAGAAGCACCCACAACACTTTTTCATTTGGGCTAACATGTCACATTTAGGCTTTGCAAGTTGTAAGATATTTAGTGGTGCCAGCAGCAGTTAATTTAATGCCCACCTGTTGGTATGAAGCTGCAACCAAGGTGTATTCATTCCTGCCTCATTTATGGGCAAATGAGTGGGGGCCTAGGAGCTGGCAGGGGAGCAGCTCATGTCTACACAAACACAAATACAGTGGTACCTCGGATTACATACGCTTCATATTACAGACGCTTCAGGTTACAGACTCTGCTAACCCAGAAATAGTACCTTGGGTTAAGAACTTTACCTCAGGATGAGAACAGAAATCGTGCAGCGGTAGCGGGAGGCCCCATTAGCTAAAGTGGTACCTCAGGTTAAGAACAGTTTCAGGTTAAGAACAGCCCTCCAGAACGAATTAAGTTCTTAACACGAGGTACCACTCTACATTTATGCTTACAGAAAGGCCCCACACGACCAGCTCTACCATTAGGTAACATGAGGTGGCTCTCAGGTCCCTAATTTTGGATTGCCACAAAAGGACAACAAATTGTAAGAAGTTTAACTGCATTGTTATATGTATACTGCCAGAGAGAGGTATGTTTTGAACATTTTTTGCCTCAGATGCCAAAATAACTTAGCCAGTCTTGGGAACCTAACTTTTGGGGTCGGTGTGGGGAGTGACATTTGTTGTTCTGCTTCAGGCCAGCCCTGCAGAAAAGTTGCCATGTTGTAAATGCAGCAGGTGTGTTAAGCGGCCTCATTAGTCGTTGGTGACTGAACCAAGGCCAGCACAAAAGCCAAGACTTTTCACTGTCTAATTACTTAACAATGGCTCTAATCTTGCTAATGGGCAATGATAAGAAAGCTCTCATACTTTAGCTGCTCATGATGTGTCAGCATTGTTAGACAACACAAGAACTGCACAAGCTGTCTTCCCCATTTTCTTCACTCTGAGAGGGTGCAGCATGTGTTTGTTTGCTCTACGGTTCAGTCTCAGAAGAAGATGCAGCAGCCTCAGGGGTCTTGCAGTTACAATTGCCCAGCAAACAGGTGCAAGAAGGCCAGCGTGCTTGGGAAAATGAGAGGCAAATGCACATCGCTGTGCTGTGTGCCACCCGTAGCAATATGACAATGTTGGGGAGGGGGTCTTAAAGATGCCATTGATTTCTGCTACCTAACAGTGTCTGCCAGAACTTACCTGGGCATGAGGCTTGAACCAGGCAGCTCCTCGGCTGGAGTCTCTTTGCTCCCCAACATGGCTTTTGAAACCATTGTTTAAAACAACGTTGCTATCAAAGAAAGGCAATGTTAACAGAATTACAAAGGAGAGCACAAGCGGTGGTGTCATAATATAGCAAAATCCAGTCAAACTAAGATTGCTAAAACATGGGTGAGGAATCTCAGACTCAAGGACCATATGTAGCGCTCAAACCCTCCCATTCCCAAAACACACCCCTCCCCCTCGCTGGTGCTGTCCTGTGTCCTCCTCACAAGTAACAACAACAATAGTATTTGTATCCCGCCCATCTGACCAGGTTGCCCCAGTCACTCTGGGAGGCTTCCAACACATATAAAAACAAAATAAAACATTAAACCCTAAAAAGTTTCCCTATATGGGGCAGTCTTCAGATGTCTTCTAAAGGTTATATAGTTACTCATCTCCTTGTCATCTGATGGAAGGGCATTCCACAGGGAGGGTGCCACTACCCAGAAGGCCCTCTGTCTGCTTCTCTGTAGCTTCCTCCTGCTCATGCTAAAACTTGGTTAAACAAAACGACTTTCACTTGTGCTTAAAGAGAATAAACACAAACATAAATGTATTTAGGGACCTAACTGGATAACCATCACTGACAAAGCTCTGCCCCTGGTCACCACTCAAATCACCTCCAAAGCTGGAGACTATTGATTCTAAGAACTGGGGGGAAAGTTTTCTGCAAACAGACAAAAACCCACCACAGAAAAGGTGATTTCATTGACAAAACATCATTGGGGCATTTATCTGTGGGTGAGAGCAGCTTGAAGCGATGCATACTGGAGTGTCCTATGCATATTATATTCTGTAATATGATAGCATCTATGCAACCCACTTTAACAAATCTTGATGCTTTACATAAACTTCCTATGACCTGATTTTTTATTGACACATTGCTGTGTGCAAGCAGGCAAAGACTCCACCCGCATGTAACCTTCAGCTTCTCCCTTTTCAATCCTGCTCTGGTCCTGGGAGACAGTGGAGCAGCAGACATTGGGGGCAGGAGGTGTGGAAGGCCTTGACTCTACAGCAGCCTGACCTCCCTCTCCCACCTCCTGCACCTGATCATTACTCCCCTATCCTGCCGCTTCTCCTGCCTCTGACTCCCATCTCCTGGCTGTTACAGATTCCCCCCAGGTCATGGATCCCTTCTTCCAAACCAGCCTCCAACTCCCCTGCTCCCAACGCCCACTTATCAGTATCCAGCCACCCCTCTGCGGTGCCCAGCCATTCCCTGGCCTACAATACTGCTTAAAATGCATACTGCAGATGAAGCTTCAGCCTTGATAACAAGGGACGCTCTGCTAGGACATGGGGAGAGCGCCTGCCACTGCCTCTTACCCTCCTGTCCCAATGCATGTCAAGAAATCAAACCCTGATTGATCCTTGCTCCATCTTTACCAATAGCCATGTCTTATGGTGATACTTTCCTTAATCTAATTGCAAATCTTCCATTGTTCTGGTCAAGCAACCTTTCCTCAAAGGGATTACAGTGGTACCTCGGGTTAAGTACTTAATTTGTTCCAGAGGTCCATTCTTAACCTGAAACTGTTCTTAACCTGAAGCACCACGTTAGCTAATGGGGCCTCTTGCTGCCGCCGTGCCGCCGGAGCACGATTTCTGTTCTCATCCTGAAGCAAAGTTCTTAATCCGAGGTACTATTTCTAGGTTAGCAGAGTCTGTAACCTGAAGTGTATGTAACCTGAAGCGTATGTAACCCAAGGTACCGCTGTACAGAAAATAAACAAGAGTCCAAGATGACAAAGGGAGAGCTTCTGAACCTCTGAAGAACATGGGCCAGAAATTCAGATCATGTAGCAGTCCGCAGCGATTAAACTTCATGCGATCCAGTTAGCCTAGAACAGGCCCATTTCTCGCACCCTGGATTCCTCTCAAATTGCAGCCTCGGCGGCATTAGTCATGGAGCTCTGTGGTTTTGCACTCGGCACATCCTGTGCTGCAGACTTAAACTGTTGACGTGAGCTGACCAAGCAGGTGTACATGAGGGTGGCTGGATCCCATTGGTTGGACTCTCCAGCTCTAATGAACCTCTCAGCCTGGTAATTAATATAATGACACGACTATCCCCAAAGTAAACAAGGGGAAAAAATCAATGCAAACTACACTTTTTATTGGCAGCTAGGCTTGCCTGTGACTATTTCTCAGTCCTTCTGAGAGGAAAGGGCTTCGCAGCCCCGGAGAAGGAATGCCTTTTACTACTACTACTACTACTACTACTACTACTACTACCTGTTTCTAGTTATGTTTCCCTGGAAGATGTAGGATAAGACAGTTTCCCACTATTCCAGTTTTCCTGCTGAAGCTGCCAGTGATCAAGTGCGAGGTAAGAAGTGTGAAGTCACACTCCTTAAACTGCATTTTCTAGATCTTCCCTTCTTTGCTGGGTTTTTGATTTAGGGTTGATCAGGGATCCCAGAAACATTGTGGCTCTGGGGGCTTGGTGACAAGAAGATGGATGCATTTTAAACATTCCTTTTGAAATGGAATTGGACGGTTTCCAATGGGGACACATTAAACCGATAAAACCCGTCATGCTGTGTTTAAGTCGGAAAATAATGGCAGCATGTTAAATGACCAATTCTGATTTGTTTTTAAGGATTTGGGGTTTAAGAGAAACAGGAAACCAGGGAGAGAGAGATTTCACAAAGGATAGAATTCATTTACATTTAATAGTCACAAAGAATAAGAAAAGCAGTGCCTGCAAATCATAATCTAGAAGGTTGCCCCTGAGGAAATACTTCTCAGGATCAAAAGGGTTTCCCACATCTGGTATAGACAATGCCGAGGGAGGTAGACGGCTGATCTTAGTGTTAGACAGCTTCATACAAAGCACCCTGAACCTATCCCACTAGCATCTGCAGCTTCCTTTGGAGTAAAGACTTGTTCAAGTCTAGCCCAACAACCATCTCTTGGTCCTGCACTTATGGTGTCAATGACCCAACCTTTGTTAAATGTCTAGGGGGGTTAAAAGCAAACTCTCCTTCCTACCCAGCAGCCAAAGCATCATCCAGCCATGGATATCAAAGCAACAGCGCATCAGAGACACCATCCCCAGGAAGCTGGAGAAGATGAGACTGCTTCCCCCAACCCAGAGGGCTGGAAGATCAACTACGAGAAGTCGTGGCTACACCGCCATTGCTCTTCCTTGCTCCTCCGCGACAAGCAGGCCCAGAAGGCTGGGCGGCTTTTCTCAGGACTGATGGCCATGAACGTGGTGTTCCTGGGCAGTGCCTTCATCTGCAGCATGTTTTTCAACAAGGTGGTCATTACGCTGGAAGACGTCTGGATCTTCCTCTCCATCCTCAAGGTCCTGGCCTTAGGCTGGATGGCAAGCTATTTATTGTTCACCAGGAGGAAGCCACACGCTATCTTGTACCGGGATGCCCATGCCGGGCCCATGTGGGTTAAAGGTAAGCAGTGCTGCCACCATCTCCAATGTCCTGACAATGTGTCAGTTCTAGAGTACTTCACATACCAGGATCCAAGCATAGCTCCTGGGGCACCTACCTGGTTAATAGGCCCAAGTACCTGTTTTCACATCTTGGGGAAAACCTTAATGGTGGGCTATGGAAGCACTAGAAGAGATGGTTCACTAATTGTTTTTAGGCAGCCTAAGAAGAAGTACAGATTAAAAAAAAGACACATACTACAAACCCTGGGGACATTCGCACACCTTGTTGGTGCATTCCCTTTTGCACTGTGCTTGGTTTTTTAAAGGTGCTTTTATTTAATATCAGGGGTGGGAGATCTCAGGTTCAGAAGCCAAATGTGGCCCTCCCTGTCCTTCTGTCTGGCCCTTGGAATTCTCCCCAGGTCACACACTACAAGTGTTTTTTTTCCTGGCTGCAATGCATCCTTTAACTCTGCTCATGTCTACCTCCTAACTAGACAAGCAAGGGAGAGGAATGTGTGTATAGAAAGCAGCTACCTATACAAAGGTAAAATCTGCGTTCAATGCTCCACCCACTTTTGCCTCGGTCCCCCACCCACCACTGGTTGCCCAGAAGGGAATGCGGTGCTCAGGCTGAAACAGGACCCCCACCTCGCAGGTTGACTGTTCTTATTAGCTTGCTCTTAACAAAATATGGTTGGTTTGTGTGTTCATACAGGTTCTCTAATCCTGTTTGGCGCTTGCAGTGTCCTCCTGCACATGTTCCGGATTGGGTACAACATTATCCATATTCAGTGTAAATCCCAGGTGGCCCTTTTGTTCCCATCCATAGGAATCCTCTTCATCTGCATTCAGGTATTAGCTCCTGCTTTTGCTACAGCCCAGCCTCTTTGCTAACAAAAGAGCTCACTTTTATCATTGGTATCAAAAGTATATATATACACATTATCGTATAAACACAATGATATTATATGCTGCCAATCTAAGAGTTGTGTTTGTGTGTGTGTGCTTGTGCGTGCGCGCACACACACACACAGAGGGTTGCTTGCCTTCAACTCCTGAGTTTTTTCCCAGACCTTCAGATTTGCAGGAGCGGGGGGGGGGGGGGACCAGCTGCCTTTTCTCCCATTTCCAATCTGGTCCTTTCACATTTTATCCGCTGCAGCAAGCAGGAGACTCCCAAAGTGGGAAGAGGGCAGACAGGCAAAACACAAAGTTACAACATACAGAGAGGGAGGGGAAAACCACAAAGGTGCCTTTCAAAACTTCAGTTTCATATTTAGTACTAGCAGCCTTGTACCTGGCATTGCTTGGTAATTCTAAGAAACAGACAAAAATTGGAGCAGTTCGGAAATTATCCACACATAGACAAAAACTTGCTCCTAGATCTCAGGACTCATAGTGTAGAATTTGGTTACATCTCAGGAGATGTTCAAATGCTAACAAGGTTACATTCAAGTATCTGTAGCCGAACACAGAACAAATGGCCCACTCCCTCCCAGTGGCGTAGCTTGAATTGCCAGTGCCCAGGGCAAGGAAAGTATTGTGCCCCAATTACCTGTACAAAATTACAAGCAACATGCTTAATTTATCTAACAAGATTTACTGTATTTTTCTGTTTATGACTAGGTTTTTTTAACCAAAAAATTAGGTTAAAAATTGGGGCTCATCTTATACATGGTAGTGCTGAGGGGTGTTTTCTTAATTTGGAGTCCCCCAAAATAGGGGGTATCTTATACATGGGGGCGTCTTATAGACAGAAAAATACAGTATATACTGCTTGATTGTAAGAAAGCCTTTAAGTGGTTTTTACATGTTGGCCATCTGTACAAAACTGTTTTCATTATTGCTGCCACACTAATTTTCCTCTCTGCATTGATTTCAGACTTACTTTATATGGTGCCATGCAAAGGACTGCACCCAGGTTCACCACAACTTCACCAGGTAGGAAAACAGAAGCATGAAACCTTTACAAATCATAATGGTGAAACGGGAGCAGTGGGGGCTCACTTCATAACAGAGGCAAAGAACCTGTGGCCTATCAGATGTTATGGCCCCAACTCTCATCAGCACCAACAGCCAACAAGGGATGATGAGAGTTGAGAGAACAGCATCTCATAGGGCCACCAATTCCCCACCCCTAACAAAATTAAGTACTTTGTCACACAACACATAGCTAAACTATGGAATTTGCTCCCATTGGTAGCAATGGCCACCAACTCAGATGGTTTCAAAAGAGGATTAGACCAATTTGTGGACAATAAGTGGCCTCTAGCCGCAATGGCTGTATTCTACCTCTACCATCAGAGTAGGCCTCTGAATACCAGTTGCCAGGAATCGCAAGTGGGGAGACTGGCACTCAAGTCCTGCTTTGGGGTAACTGGTATTCAATAAGCTTCTGGCTGGCCCTTGTGAGAATAGAGTGCTGGACCAAATAAGTCACTGGCCTGATCCAGCAGGTTTTTGCTATGCAGAATCGAGCACTAGTTATATAGGATTGCATCCAGTTGTTGCTCTACTAAGGGTAGACCCACAGCAGTTAACAGGCATAACTAAGGGTTGGTCATTTCAGTGGGTCTACGTTGAGTAGAACCTAGTTGTCTGCAGCCCAAACTGTATCTACTGAAGTTTTATGATCAGAGGTTGATTCAAGGAAATGGCATTAAGGTGTTTAGGTTGTTTCTCTTGGGCTAGTCCTCCTTTCCTTCTCCTACTCATTCTCTCACTCACAAACACCTTTTACATTCAAAGTTTATTCTGCAGTTTTGCAGGCTAGGTAGGAACCTTTTTCATTAATGAAAGAGGAAGCCCTCAGGGTGCTGATCTCTGCTCCCAATGCCAGACTCCACAACTGAAATGGGATCATGGAGCTGGATTGTGTTAGCCACACAACTAAGGACTTTCACACATCCGCTTGTCCTGCCAATTTCCCCTAGGTAAACTCTGCTCTTTACCACTGAATCAGAGAAAACATCAATTGGTCTTTCCACAGATTGAAGTTTGCTCCGATTTAGCCATAGAGAGCCGGTTTTCCTGGGAAAAGCCAAAATCCATTGGACCTGCGCTATCTGAGCATGGGACAAGCGGGAATGTGGATGAGCCCTTAACTTTGCTATGTTAACTCATACACTGAAGTTCCTCATTCAGTTACCAACAAGAGAACGGAATACCAATACTGTGAGAACAGGTAGAATACAGCTTCATTAATAAAAGACCGATGTCAAAAGACTATAAATATGTGTTTCTTTTTTGACAGATGTGGGCTAATGTTGACCTTAGCCATTAACCTCTTGCTGTGGCTCTTAGCAGTGACTGATGACTCAGTTCACAAGGAAATTGAATCAGAACAAAACAATACCATGCAGAGATATGAAGGCAAGGTTCATTCTCTATTTTATTTTATTTTGAAGTGGGCAAGAGATCCAAAAACAAGATACATTCTTCAACTTCTTAAAAAGGGTAGAGAAGTAGAATGGGGAACATGCCAGGTGAGCAAAAAGCTTTGCACATTTCCACACAAACAAACTGTGATTGTGAAGACATCACATGCAATAAGATGTTAACCTACCGGTAGGTTATGAACTCTATTGATAGCTTAGGTGATCGGAAAGGAGGGTGGGTTATTTGCTCACTGAAATTAAGTGAGCCCTGATGGATCATTTATAGTCCAGCATCCTGTTTTCAACGTAGCCAAGCCTAAAAGCAGAACATGAATATAACATTACAAATGGTTTTCTAGATGCAAAACCATTTTGGGGGTGGAGAGGTCCTGCTTCTTGTAGACCAGTGATGGCCAAACTTGGCCCTCCAGCTGTTTTGGGACTACAATCCCCATCATCCCTGACCACTGGTCCTGTTAGCTAGGGATGATGGGAGTTGTAGTTCCAAAACAGCTGGAGGGCCAAGTTTGGACATGCCTGTCGTAGACCTATATGACGAATAGAATGTAGGGATGATCGCGGAGTGGGGAGTGGGGTCCGGAGGGAGCACACTCCCCACCCGCAGGCAGCCTCAGCCTGCCTGCACGTGTGACCTTGGGGTGTGGAGCACATACACCCCTCACAGACAAAGCCACGGCTGTCTGAACATGGTTGCCTCTGTCTAACCTTTTGCGGTCTCAGTAGTCTGCGGTGTCCTGTCTGTAGCCTTTGTTTCTGAGACCTTTTGTCTCCTTCGTCACACACTGTGCAAGGGGAAAATGATGCGGTGGAAACAGGTGCCAAAATACCTTTGTACTACCTCACGATCTCAGGACCGGAAGATGTGTAAAGGTCACAGCCCAAAATGTATCTGCTTGGTTTACATATTTGTCTCAATAAAAGGAGGCTCCACAGGGCTGGCCGGCAGCTTGCATGCAGCTCACCTGTGCGCAGCTCACCTGCATTATCAACTCCTGCCTCATGTCCATCACTTCAATAGAAACCCAGTCAATCTGATGCCTCCTTTCCCAACTGTATTGCAAAATTTTGAGTTCCAGTCCTGTACCTTGATGAGTAGGAGAGAGGGAAGAATGGTCCAACAGTAGTACCGTGATTGGTGGCTCCAGATATGTCCAGTTTCCTTGTAATGTCACAAACTGTAGTCTAATCACTGGATTACTTGGTCTGTGCCTGTCCTGATAACTTAAAATGCCAGTATTAAACAGACAAGAGCAAAAAACACACAGAGCTGCAATCAGGCGTAATTCACAAGGAGCCAAGAACAGAAATAGAGTCATGTGCCTTTCAAAAAGAAATGTGTGCCAATACTGATGGGTTAAGACAGGATCGCCCCATGCAGGTTGAGTATCAGCATTTGATTCCAGCACCTTTTCATGTGCAAACTTCATAGAAGTCTTCTAATTCTCCCCATCTTATTCCAGGCAATGGGACCAGCTCCTGCAGGTGCTCCAACAAAACAGGCTGCAAGGTCTTCCAGAATGGCTATATTTTGCTGTACCCCTTCAACACAGAATACTGCCTGATCTGCTGCTCCATGCTTTATGTCATGTGGAAGAACGTGGGCCGGCGCATAGCTCAGCACCATAGTACTTGTGCCAAACCCAGATTCAAACCACATGGGGTCATTTTCGGGCCGCTGCTGGGCATCTTCGCAGTGATCGCTGGCATCTGCATTTTCATGGTGTATCAGGTCCAAGCCACCAGCTCCTCCCCGAGCCATCAAGCATTCATTCTCTATTATTCCTACTACATCGTTTTGTTGCCTGTGATGACACTAGGAGCCTTAATTGGAACCATCACCCATGGCTTAGAAGAGAGGGAGCTGGACACGCTAAAAAACCCAACACGAAGCCTCGATGTGATATTGCTCATGGGAGCAGCCTTAGGCCAGATCGGCATCTCTTACTTTTCCATTGTGGCCATTGTGGCCACAGACCCAACGGATTTGTTGAACAGCATCATCCTAGTCTATTCGGTGAGCCTCATCATTCAGCACATCACCCAGAACATCTTCATCATTGAGGGGCTCCATAGACAGCCACTGCCAGCAAATGAAGGTCGCAGCCAGGATGAACATTCCAGGAATGGCTCTGCCTCAACCCAGAGCCCACCCAGTGAAGACATGATTGCATCCCCTGGCTGTCGAGAACCTGTCTCATCCGCAGCCAACAAGGAGGCAGATCCCAATGAAGGGGAGAAATGTGAACATGCTAGCGCCCCAAAAGTTTGCAACCCAGAGAGAAGGCAGGACATCCGGAAAGCTTCACAGACCTACATCCAGACCTACAGCCATTTGAACTGGAAGAGGAAAGTTCTGAAAGAGATCTCTAGCTTCTTGATCATGTGCAACATCATAGTAAGTGCTTGACTTCAGTGCATATAGAAAACTGAGGTGCGGATTGTAGTGAAGAGCCCCAAAGCCTGCCCAGGAACATGAGTAGTTCCCATCTCTAAACTTGAGGTTTGCTGCCACCAGCCCTCACTTTTCCCTCTTACTTTGAGACAAAGACAATTCTCAAAGCTACAAGCAGTTAATATTAGTTAGGGCAGAGTTTGGCACCATGTGTGGGCACCACTGTGCTTGTTAGTACCTCCTAGGGCACCCATGAAACATCTCTTCTAAAATCCGCAATGCATGAGAACACGGTTTGCTCTTCCTTAATATAAGGTCAGGGCAGGGCTTTTTTTTCAGTCGGAGCTCAGCTCTGGCACCTCTCAGGTGGGCGTCATTGCCATTCTAAGAGAACGAGGGAGACGTTCATTGTGAGCTCTGGCATCTCTTTCTAGGAAAAACAGTACTGGGAGGGAGGGGTAAGAAAACAAGAGGATAGATAAACCTTTGTATATGGGATCACACTAGCAGCAGGGGACAACCCTGGCACATGGAACCAAGGTTGCTTTGATTTTCAGGTCACTGGAAAAGGAGGAACAGGAAGTGGGGGCCTAAATCAAAGGCAAAAAATACATTGAGCTATCTCCATATTAACTGTCCCCCTTCCCTGAGCTGCGATTGACAAACATTCTCTGATTTTTGCTCTTTTCACACCCCTTTTCAGTTGTGGATCATGCCATCATTTGGAGCGCATCCGGTGTTTGAGAATGGAATAGAGAAATCATTTTATGGCTACTCTACCTGGTTTGTTATTGTCAATTTCGGGCTTCCCTTGGGTGTGTTCTACAGGATGCATTCCGTTGGCGATCTTCTGGAGGTGTACCGATCTGCTTGAACTCAACTCAAGTCTTCATACATTGACAGCAGAGTGAAAACTTCACGGAAATATTTATGGAAACCAGTAACTGTTATGAGAATATGACATTAAAAAGTGGAAATTGTGGCTACAGTTTGAACAGTTTACGACACTGGGGTGGGGGAATCAAAGCAAATTTAACCTGCTTGGTACATAGCCTACTATGTCATGGGAGAATGCACACCCCATAACAGATTATTATAGAACTGACACATTCTGTGTACATTATAACCTCTAATTACAATTATGCTAGTAAGGTAAAGGGACCCCTGACCACAAAGTCAAGTCGTGACCGACTCTGGGGTTCCGGTGCTCATCTCGCTTTGTTGGCCAAGGGAGCCAGAGTACAGCTTCTGGGTCATGTGGCCAGCATGACTAAGCCGCTTCTGGCAAACCAGAGCAGCGCACGGAAATGCCATTTACCTTGCCACCAGAGCGGTACCTATGTATCTACTTGCACTTTGACGTGCTTTCAAACTGCTAGGTTGGCAGGAGCAGGGACCAAGCAATGGGAGCTCACCCCGTCGCGGGGATTCGAACCACCAAACTTCTGATTGGCAGGTCCTAGGCTCTGTGGTTTAACCCACAGCGCCACCCGCATCCCTACAATTATGCTAAACAACCATTAATGAGAAGCACAAGACTTGGAAGATGTGGGAACTGAGCTGGGCCCAACAATCCCTTCGGCAAAACCGTCACCTTCCATGAATATGTCAATCCTTTGGGGTGCAAGAACCAGCCTTCAGAGACTGAGAAGCGGGTCGCCAGAGGCATTTTGAAAAGGACATGGTAAGCAAATACTTGTGTTAACACCCATCCACATCTAAAGAGTTAACAAACCACAGTGTCTGAATCTGATGCATGTCTGGCAGTTCCAGAGATGCTTCTGGAGTTTTGTCCTTCATGTTGCCTCAATAGGCATATAGCGCAAGTAGTAATGCTCAGGAAGACTGAAACATAACCAGGTATCAAGCAGAAAAGGAGCAAGAAAATCTGTAACACCAGTTTTCCAATATTGTCTTCAAAGTAACTACTGTATTTGAGGGAATGATTTGAGTTCTGATCTCTGCTGACACTGGGCTATTAAACTTTTATTGTCAGGGGTTTACAACAAGTAATAGGACTTTAGGGGGTGTGGAAAGGGACAAAGTACCCTCAGGATACTCACATTGCCTCAATAGTTGTCCCTTTCCCACTGGAAAGCCTTGTTTAGAGGACGTCCCCAGGACATGATGGAATAAGACAAGGAGTATAAAGTGTTCAGAATGCAATCACACATTTTTTAAGTTAGCATGGGCCAATAGTCTAATTCTGTTTCCATAATTTATCTAGTAATACTGAACTGGGAACAGATAAATTTTAAGAGATGTGATGTATAGTTTTGAAGACATTGCATTTGATCTGTAGCAATAGTGATGGCACCGTGGCGAACCTTGAAAAGCCACATCATAAAGCAGTTAATATGGCTAGCTAAATGTTCAAAGTTTATTGCATGTGCCATCTGCATTTCACCCGTGTTCAGGACACAGCAAAGCCAGTAGAACACAATGAAAAGCTGCCACTAAATTATAATAGTTCTTGGCTCAGCCTGGTGATTCATTATATAAAGGATTAAAAGCTGCTCCTGGCATTGCAATCAATTCATCTTTTAGCACTATCTAAATCCTTCTTGTTGCTGAAGGCTAATAGATGGAACTGTAAACATCTCGTTTTATTACTCTCTTGCAAAATAAACCACTCTCAAGCAATTTCTTGGTCAAGGTATGACTTCCTTTTTTTTATTAAAAAAAAAGAGTTAAGAGAGGCAAAAACAGGGTGCACAGGTCTTACTCAGGTTCCCATGCTTGTTGAACAGTGTGGAGACTATTTCACTTGGACTTATAGGGCAAAAGGTCTTACACTTTTGGACTTTGCATCTCTGTTAATTTTACCCAGCCTTATGTCAACAGGAACTGTCAGAAGAAATAAAAGCTGGATAAATTAGCACTCTTAAAAGTTAATTATTACCCCAATCCTCATGGGCTAAAGCACAGGATCCCATCAAAGGAGCTTACTGAAGGTTAGTCCTCTTTTTAAATGAAGAATTAGGGAAAGGGTTATAGATCTTGCAACAAAGAACTCTGTATGTGCAAGGGAGGCTGCCTGGACTGGAGTATACACACAGGAAGCTGGGCCTGTCCTACGACAGTTAAGTTCAAACAGATCCAATGCATAAGCTGATCAGGATTTTAAACATCCCATTCAAATTCCCACACTGCTATCAGAACATGTTCATGTTCAGTGCTTTTGGTTTCCCGTATTGCTCTGCAGATGGACTTCTTCTGCACACCCTAATTTGACAAACCCGTAAGCTCGTTGCAGGCATGGAGGAATGGACGGGTGAGGACCCCTAAGCCACATTTAAACCCTGTCGAGACGGAGACCTTGTGGGCAAGTGGCTCCTGCATCCAAGAAACAGGAGAGCTACCTGCTCTGGGTGGGGCTTCACTCCCTTCTGAATGAACAAGAATGGAGTCCTGCCATGCTCCTGGATCCCTCTTTATCACTGGAGGCACAGGTAGCCTCGGTTGCTAGGAATGCCTTTTACCAGCTTCATCTGGTAAGACCATAGTGGCCACTGGAGTTAGGGATCTCAAGACTGGATGCCTGCAACGCACTGATTGGGGGGGGGGGGATTCCCAGAAAGCTGCAGCTAGTGCAGAATGCAGCAACCAGGCTGTTAACTGCAACATCTTCCCAACAGCATATAGCGCCTCCGCTAAGAGAACTGCACTGACTGCCAAAATGCTATAGGGCTCAGTTCAAGAGTTCGCTTTCAGTGTTTAAAGCCCTACACAACTTGGGGCCAGGTTACTTGAAGGACACCTTGCCACGTATATCCTTGCTCAGCAATTGCATTCCTCTGATGGGGTGTTGTTAAGAGTTCTGAATATCCCAGAAGTACATTTGATCTCAACTTGGGAAGCACTTCTTTAGTGTTGTGGCTGTAGCTCTAAGTAATCAGCTTCCCACTGAACAGATACGTGCTTAGCATCTTTACTTTTAGCAGCTACTGAACACTTACCTTTTTAAGACATTTCTTATCTTTTTAAGAAAGTCAAAATGACCCAGCCATTTCATACTGGATATTACACAGAATTTTGCAGTTTGACATTTTAAAGATATGCTTTAAAAAACAGTTGTGTATATTTTGTTGCTTATGAATTTTTAAAATATATTTCTGTTGAGCGCTGCTTCAGAAACATTTGTTGGGAAGCAGTTTAAAAATCCTTGAATAAATATGGGACCCAGTTGGAGCCTACATTCACCCTATGGCTTTCTGTTAATCGATGCAAGGAACTCTGCAAATGCTCTGAACTTATCTATGACATTTCTCTCCAGGTGCTGCTTCCAGTTTAGCAGTTGTGTTGAATCGGGAACTCCTGTGCAGCCATGCCTTTAATGGAAAGTTACATGTTGCAAAGGACGCCAGATCATCATAAATCAAACAGTACCAAACAAGCTCATAAACCTTCTGGAGATAGAGACACAGAGGAAAGCCCATTGCGGTGTTTTAAGATAATTTTATCTCTATATGTAAAGCAAATAGTTTACAGTGCAACTCTGATTTTTCATGGAACAAAGAGCAGACCTGCAACACCAACGAATGCAAAAGTCAAGATAAATTCACAAGGAACAAACCACATTGACACAAAATAAAAAGATGGGGTGCTCACAAAAGCGTCTCTGTGTGAAAGGGAATGGGACAGATCAGTGTCTGGTACAGTGTGATACACTCAGCCAGACCCTTGCCAGAGCACTACCAAATCACATTTGAGAAATCAAAGACATTCCAGGGAAAGTATGAACTTCAGTCTGCCAGTGGAGGTGGAAGGTGAGATGAATAGATTAGTTTTGCCAAAGAGAAAGGAGTGAGATAAAGGATATTTGTCCTTTAAATTCTTCATCTATTTTCATCTTCTAAATATTTAGAATAAGCTCCAGATAAAACCTAGAATTTGCCAATTCTCTCCAAGATAGCCTACCCTATCCTGTTTAGGATAACCTAAAATATACGTTCTGTTCTTGAGCAAAATAATCAAACCACATTGGTACTATATTCTGCAGATGTAGCCATACATTTCTGTGACATCAGTTGCAAATCTTTAACAACCTGGAAGTTTGAGAAAAGCAATCCGTAAGTAAAAAAAACAAACAACCCAGCAAAATAGCCTCCTAATTGCAGAACTTCCAGTTAAGGGTCAGGTGAAAGCTGGCAGAGAGGTGATGACTGCAGAACACATCTCTCATTCCCTATAAGTGAGCAAGTACTACCCATAGTGAACAAAAACTGTGATTCCAAACTGGTGGTGGCCCCTGGACCCTTTGAGAGCCTTCTGGGGAGTCTGAAGAATCTTAGACTCAAGTAGTGATCAGCCAGAAATGGACCTGTCATTCCATGACCATATTTGCAAGGGGATGTTGGCTTGCATCGTAAGATACAAAACTAATTAAACTCATGTTAGCTAACCCAGGTCTAAGCATAAATCTCAAATTCTGAAAATAGAAAACTCACATTCCTCTGTAAGAACACTTTTCAAATTCATGTTGATTCCTCAGAGACACATTCCAAAGGCATGTGGTCTATCGACCAGCCTTTGCCAGTCCCTCATGAATTCTGCTAGGGAGAAATTCCCATTTCCCCCCGCTAACTTTGAATCTATAAATCTAGCTTAAGCAACCCAGAACAGAAGCCACACGGTGCAGCTTCTTAAATAATTAAACTTCATTCTAGCAGTCTTACTGCCTACAGTTATCATCAAACACAACAAAACGATTCTCTAAATCCCTGAAAAAGAGCATGGGTCCACCCCCTCCCACCCTCTCGCCACATGTCCCACCTCAGAACAGCTTTCCCAGAAACAATTCCTGCAACAAACACAGTGTGATGCATCTTAGACATACATCCACCATTAAAAGGGAGGAAGGACGAGGGAAGA